ATTCCAGACAGTTTTAAGTGTGTTTCACATAATTTCGTAAGTGTCGCAGTATTAAAATTCTCTGGCCTATCTGGCCAATCAAATATAACACAATTGTCAATATATTTTTCAATAGTGCAATATATAAAAGGTGCTTTACTATTTTGCATACCTGCAAAATCCATTGACATTTTTCAAAATTCGGCATTGTCAAATTTATTTCATATTTAAGATGCCCAAAATAATTTCACAAGCAAAAATAAGAGAAATAATAAAATGTTACGGCTATTTCGAGAAAAGCAAACCAGAAGTTCTTCAGGGAATAATAATTGAAGCCCAACTACCATATACATTTGGGGTAGGTATAGTTTAAGTCTTAAATATAGATGTAAAGCCATTTCTGATAACCAGCAACCAATATTTTCGTTGGACCAAACCCTAAAAAAAAGTAACTGCGAAATAGTTATTTATGATATAAGTGCTAAAAGTGACATTTTATTTTGTGAAAAGGGAAGTTTGGGACACGACGCCGAAGGCGGAGTGTTCCATCCCTTTGAACAAAATAAAATCACTTTTAGCACGAATATCATACACTATTTTTTCTACAAACGCACTAAAAGTGATTACTTTTAGCACTAGTGCTAAAAGTAATCACTTTTAACACCAGTGTCATAAAATGGCATTTTAGACACTGACAGCATCCGTTAAAAATGACACTTTTAGTGACGTTTGTAGGAAAACATATTTATGCTGTTAAGCTTATTGTTATGGTTACGTTGGATTTATTTTATTTCAAATAAATTTAATAGTTTTACTAAAGTCTGTTTTTTTTTAAAGATAATTCCCCAAGTCAAAAATTTAGTACCTTTAGTGCCTTTTCTACATAACAAATTTGAAAGCATTGACAATTTTACATTGTATTGCCAACATAATGTCATTTTGATTTTTATCTTTAAAACTTTAAGTACCCATTTTTTTAAAAATTAATTTGGAAAAATATTTTGGAATTGAATCTACTCAGATATTTTACACATTCTGGCAACTCGGCTTTCTGTTTTATAACCCTAAAATTTGAAAAATACTTTGTCATCAAATGTCATTATTATACGAGGGTCAACCTGTCAAATTTTCATGGATAATGCTACGCCAATAATATCTGAAAAGCATATACAACTAATGACATTTATTATTGTCAGGTTGTCATATGAGTCAATAAGTTTAATGTCGTATTTCCTAGTATTTTACAATTATTTAAATAGTTTTTGGTGAATTATTGTTAATTAGTGAGTAATTTAGATTAAAACAATATCAAGTTCAACAGATTCCGCTGAAGAATTCGTTCGGAAATATATTCAGAGAATGGAAATACAAAACAACCTAAGACGGTCCTGCCCAGAGCGGAGTATAATCCTATTCTAGCCAATAAAATTCGACTTACCTGTCAAAGTTTGTTTACTTTCACTATCTCGTTTCGTGAAATGAACTTCTCATCGGTGCTAAATATCCAATACACATTGACATTGACAAGCAAGCAAATGTTGGCGGGAATATGAATGTTTTCATACTATATCGTCCATCTCTTTCTGGGTCATATTTTCACGTGTTAAAATTTTTGTAGTCAAACCTGATACACCCTGTATTATTCAACGAGCGGGTAATGATGGCTATTACTCACGAAGGATGAAGTTTGCACTACGAGCCGCAGGCGAGTAGTGTAATCATCCGAGTGTAAAAAGCACCATCTTCCTTTTTACACATTTTATCAGCTTAAACAGTTAGAAAATAAATAAAAATACTGTCAGGGATTCCGGGTTCACTGAAACTCGATAAAAATTGAATTACAACAATCTCAAATTATTCCTACGCTCTATTTATATAGTCGAAATTGCAATCAGGATTTAGTTAAAAAAACATCGAATCGAATATAATAGAATTCTAGGAAAAAGCGCACTGCCCGACGTGAACAAGTGACTAATTTAATTTCTTAGAATCCCGACGCCGCGATGTCAATACTTTTTCGTAATCAATACCTATTATTCTAGTATTTTGATGAAAATGGAAGCGAAGAGAGCGGGTTACCAGTGCAATGTTGGCGATGTTGCTCATTACATCACCGGGTTGATAAATAATTTTACCTACGAGAGTGCGGTAAAGTGCACTTTACCGCACGTATTTGCAAATGGAAAGTATCACTTTACCGCACACTAAGCGGTAAAGTAACTTTACCGCGGTACTATGTGGTAAAGTTAACTTTACAGCATAGTATGCGGTAAAGTGGACTACAAAGTGTGCGGTAAAGTGCACTTTACCGCATAGTGTGCGGTAAAGTAAAATTTGATATTTTTAATCAGAAATCCTCTCTTTTTCAGAAAATGGATTTTTGATCATTTCTATATTTTATCTAATTTCATTAATTAATCTGATTCAATAATTAATTTTATCAATGCCTTTTTTTAGAGGTGTTAGATGCTCATAGGTAAAATTTTGTACCTAACACATGCGGAAAGTGCCTTTACCGCCCTTAACGGCTTGACCGAACTCCGCTCCGCGTCGTTCGGTCAACTGCCGTTGCGTGCGGTAAAGTATCACTTTCCGCATTTGTTAGGTAAATAACTATTAACATTTCTCATAAATAATATTCTGGATACCGTTCGATTTTTTCTCTATGATTTCTATTTTGATTTATTTTCTCAATTTACCGCCTCTTAAATTTTGCCGCCGGGTGCAGTTAGCACCTTTGCACCCCCCTAAAGCCGGCGCTGATTGAACATCATTTACCTCTATACCATTCTCAACGGTTTTTGAGATATTTTTTTTTTTATATTTAAGAAATTCACTTTTTTGAGAGGTAAATATTTAAAACTAACGAAATAATAAGGAAGATACCTTATTTAGGTGAACGTTAACACCAATATTTGATAACATTTCTATTGTAACACTTGGTATTAAAAACAAATCGAGTAATTTTTTCTTCATATTGGTTACTCTTACAAATAAAACTTATTTATTCAATAATAAAACAAAAGACTAATTCTGAAATAATGAGCCTTATTCTGAAGACAATTATATCGAGAACTTTTATAAATAATTTGTACGTTTGATGTACCATGAAATTTTCGAAATTTTTAAGCATAAAGTAACCATTAGTTTGTAACTTGACAAGGAAAGTTAAGTTTAAACCAAAATAATTTAATAGTTAATATTATTGTTTCAATAATTTTCAGTGCTAATATTTGTGTAAGTGTGTCAGCTTATAATTTAAAAAGCCACATTTGAAATGGCTTTTATTATTTTCTTTAATTTTAAATATTTACCGGGCAAAGGAGCGAATTTCTTGGAAATTGAAAAATAATAAATATCTCAAAAACTGTTGAGAATGGTATAGAGGTAAATGATGTTTAATCAGTAGCAAATGGGCTCTACTTTCACCTCCTCAAAGGAATACCTACGTCTACTTACCAATCAGCCTGATATAATTTTACAGCTAATTTGATGTGCTAAAAATGCACGGGAAAGAAATTGCGTGCAGACATATGCCTTTTTTTTGCATACTAAAATATGTTGTGTCTTATTTATATATTTATAATTTTTTAAATAATTATTTTCTATTGGTTCAATAAAATTAACTTACCAGGTATACTGCTAGCCACAATAAGAAATATATAAGTTAACAAAATAGGAAGCCTTCAATCAAATAGAAAACAGCATAGCCGAAAACCAAAACAAAACATATATGCAACTTTTACTTGATCAGAAGCAAATACCAAAGTAGCCGGTTTGAAATAAACATGCGGCCCCTTATCTCTTTCATTTCGTACTATTTTTGTTATATTGAAATTTCCCATATATTTATAAACAAATTTAAACTCTGGTTAGAACAAAAATAAATCAATGGATTTCTGGTAATAATTCGCGCAAATATTTCTGCTTGAACCATAGTGCAACGGCAGCTGTAGCCAGAATGGAATGGCAGAGGGTGCGAAGAATAACTGAAAGAGATCAGGCTGCCACACAAAGATGAACATTGCTATGTACAATATTAGATCAATGGCGACGGAAGACAGAATTGAAGAACTGGAAGCGGAACTAGAAAAAATCAAATAGGACGTGATTGGCATAAGTGAGACAAGGAAAAGAGGCGAAGGCTACACCAAGCTCAAATCAGGTCAGGTCATAAGCTCTACTACAAAGGACACGAAAACTCCAGTCTTGGTGGCGTAGGCATACTAATACACAGGAGACTAACAGACAACGTAAAAATGCTCAAAGCTATATTCGAACGAGTGATATACATAACGTTACAAATAAACAAACTCTGGTAGCACTGAAGATATTTCAGGCATATGCTCCCACAAGCACCGCCGAAGTCAAAGACGTCATCAAATTCTACGAGGAAATCTCGGAAGGAATGCGCAGAAATAAAACATCACAAGTTTTATTGATCGGCGACTTCAACTGCAAGATTGGAGGCCAAGTAGACCCAGAGGAAAAATATGTAGGCCAACACGGGCTAGGCAAAAGAAATCCCAGAGGCTTAATGATGGCTGACTTTCTAGATCTAGATCTTCTTCTAGAAGAAGAACATCTCTACAACGCCAACACCTTTTTCAAAGAAAAAACGCAACCGCAAATGGACCTGGGCAAGCCCAGACGGGAGAACTTTCAACCAAATTGACTATATTCTAACGAAGAACATCCAAATAGTACAAAACGTCGAGGTATTGAACAGATTTGATACTGGAAGCGACCATCGTCTGGTGAGGGCAAATATAAGCATAAACCAAAAACTAGAGCGTTGCAGAAAAATCAAAAAGTCGATACACAAACAGATTGACAGAGAGAAACTCCAAAACAACCCAAATAAATTCCAAATATACCTGAGAGACAGATTCAAAGAGCAGAGACCGCGAGTACCCATGACATAAACCACTAGAACCCTAAACCAGGCAGCAGAAGCGTAAACAGAAACAAAAACTAAAAAGCAAAAAAAAACTAAGCGCGCAAACACTAAAAAAAAAAACATGCTAGATGAAAGAGGACAACTTACAACAAATAACAAAAGATCATCAGCAGAATCCGTCGAAACAAATAAAATCGCCAGAAAGATGGCAAAGGAAGACATCAGAAAACACAATGAGCAAATTGCGCAGGAAGTACTGAAACAACACAAAAGGACGAAAGTGTTCAGAAGACTAACGACGAACACAAAGAAAGAAATTGTCAGAATCAAAGACAAAATAGGACAAAGAATCGAGGGAAGACACGAAATTATAAGAACGGTACAAGAATTCTATGCAGACCCATACGAGACGAAAGTAACTAGCGACATATCCGAACAAGACCAGGAAGTGAAAGTCATGAACGTCAACTCTGAAGACATACCTGAGATTACAAAAGACGAAATCAGACTAGCATTACATCATATGAAAAACGGGAAAGCAGCAGGCGAAGATGGCATATTAACGGAGATGTTAAAGCAAGGTGGAGATATACTAGAGGACCAATGCTGTTCAACAAATACCTGAAAAAGGAGGACATACCACAGAGGACTGGACAAACGCCCTCTTGACAATCATTCACAAAAAGGGAGACACCGAGAACCTAGAAAATTACAGACCGATCAGCCTGTTACCCCAAATATATAAATTATTCTCGAAAATAATAACCAACCGTCTCACACCAAACTTAGACTACTACCAGCCAAAAGAGCAGGCTGGGTTTAGGAAGGGTTACAGTACTACAGAACGATGAGAATACTAATCGAGAAGATGTTGGAATACAATATACCTTTATGGCTAGCATTCATTGATTTTAGAAAAGCTACCTTATCAACAACATTTCTCGTAACGCGACTCTACAAATCCAGCTACACGAAAAGTCCGACAAAGTTGCAATTAAAAGGGGAGCGCGCCAAGGAGACCCTATGTCACCCAAGCTCTTCACACTAGTTCTGGAAGACGCACTAAAAACAATCGACCTCCAAAACAGAGGCTTTAACATCAATGGGGAAAAAGTCAACCACGTCATGTTTGCCGACGACATAGTAGTGATAGCCTGAAGTAGAGAAGAACTGGCCGAGGACATCTACAGGGCCACGAAGCGCATAGGCCTAGAAATCAACTTTGACAACAGGAAGTAAAGTTTGTTTCACCAAGGTTTGTACTTGCCACCAGCATTTGTCTTGTTTAACAAATAAAAATTGACTGAAACAAATCAATGACGTCAAAAACGTTCGTCGGTTCTTAAACCAGACCTCATTCATTTTAATTTGTCAAAAAAATTGAATCTGTCATATGAATTAATCTACGACAACCCTTTTTTGTCAAGTTTCAAGGTCAAGTATGAACCCTGGTGAAACGAACTATATATGACTATGACATCAAACGTTGAAGACGAACGAGAAATTACCCTAGGAGACAACAGAATCGAAAAAGTAACTACAAATACCTAGTACAAACATCAACTACGGGCAAGGCTAACCAAAAACTCGAAATAAACGAGAGAATACTGCAAGCCTGGGCGGCATATGCCAAAATAAAAACATTTTGAATATGGACATACCCCTAAACCTCAAAACCGAATTATACAATCAGTGTATCTTACCAGTAACTACTTACGGGTCACAAACTTGTACTTTTACGAAAGCTATACTTGACAAACTTAAAGTAAACCAGAGAGCTATTGAGAGGAGAATACTTTGGATATCATTAAGGGATAGGAAAACAAATGAATGGATCAGGAGAAAAACAAAGGTGCACGATGTCGTGCAACGCGCCACCGCGCCACTGCTCAGAAATCGGACTGGGCAGGACACGTCGCAAGAGACCAGGATAATTGGAGTGGTAAACTAATTCGATGGAGACCATGGAGCAACAGAAGGAGCACAGGAAGACCACAAATGAGATGGAGCGACGATTTGAAACGAGCGGCAGGACTGAACTGGTACCAGGTGGCACAAAACCGCGGCAACTGGCAAAATAAGAGGAAGGCTTATACCCAAAGGGTAGAAAACAACTATATAAAAAAAAAAAAAAAAAAATAGATAATTTTATATCCTACTGAACATACTGTATTTTGTATATTTTTATAAATAAATAAACCATAAACCAAAATTTCTTTTTTTTTCTCAAAGTTTTACCTATTCAAGGTAAAAGCGAGAGTTATGAAATCCTTAACTCCCGCGCGGGAGTTAAGACCCATAACCAAAGTATTATATGGTTATAATAGTTCAATAGGATATAAAAGTTGTTACTGCTGAGTTTAAGTTGACCTGGTATCCGTAACAATATATTTCTACATTGAAATATCAGTAAGATAAATTGATAGTGAAGTTTTAAAGCGATTAGTGAATCTTGAAAAATCAATAATTTCAATTAAAGTTGTTGTTGTTAGTAAGGGAGTTTCAGTGGACCCGCAGCGTGCTTTAGCCTTTACAATATTGAATTTATTGTTTTTCAATATAACTCAATAAATTATTGCAGTCAGGCAGGTTGCTGGATTCAATTTTCGAGTCTGCACATTGATCTGAAATTGCGAAATCGGTCAAAGCAAAACATTTCCCAACTAATTTTGTCCATAAAAATTATTGTTCTTCATTAAACATTTGTTTCTGCTGCTTACTACTTAATATTCTTTCTACGAGTTCTCCCCGCAGATAACTTTGTTCTGCTATTATTTCTAAATTGGGTTTAACCCAGGTTTCATATTATAATGTATTTACTTGTTGAAGTAAATTTTTATTTTAGTGGGAAGATTCAATTAGAATCATGCAACTTCTAAACAATTTGAACCAAAGTTATGAGCTTACCTGCAACCTCGCCTGCAACCTATAAAGCTGTGGCATCAAGTTCCTTGTTTCAACTTTTTCAACATGGCCACACTGTCTCTTCCATTTGTGACCACATTGCAAAGTGATATCACTTTCAAATCGACAAATATAAGAATCAATGTCTTGACTGCAGGCCATCTTTTGTGTATGCCCACATATTAACTTTCGTTCGACTTCCTCTTTACAAATAAAAGAATTCACTTCTTGACTACACGGTATCTTGTGTACATGCTGACATTCTAATGTATGTTCAACTTCCACTTGACACTTGAATTCGTTCATTTCAAGGGAACAAGTAACATCCTGAACGTGTCCGCATTCTGGATGAATCTCTTTAGTTTGCTTACAATCATAGGTTCCGGATGATGCCACATGACAGGCCATGGAATTCTTGTGGCCACAGGGCAATATCCGCTGGACTGTGTATGTGCAAGAGCCACACTTTTCAAAACATAGCTTTTTGCACTTATGAGCTGGATCATCACATAATGTCCTAAAAAGATAATAATAATTATTGTTTTGGATTTTGAAGTAGGTGAAAATGTTATCAAAATCAAAAAAAAGTAATTGACATTGATTTTTGGAGTTAAACTTCTTTAGCGAGAACAGGAAATAGAGGGACACATATAAGGTGCAATTTTTAAGTTGAAAATGTGAAAAAATGAGATTGTGCCTACTTCTGTGAAAAATTACATTTTATTTTATATTTTATCACGGATAGTTATGTCTCACATCTATCTTGTGCGAGTAGCACTCGCTCCGATTTCTTTCTAATGAAAAAATCATCACTTACTCTTCACATTTATATTTGCAATTATAAAGCTCATGGTCCAGATCATATCCGTGGCAAATTTTCGTGCAATTATGCCCACATTTAAGAACAGTATTGCAGACCTGGCTGCAGCCACCTTCTGGAACTTTGGCAAAGTCGGTGCCTTTTGACACGAAGGTCATGTGTTCCTGGTGGATTTTGCACTTGAGGGTTAAGTATTTGCCCAAAGCTTGTTGAGCCTCCAGTGTTGATCTTATTGTTTTCCAGATCTGAAAATAGATATTAATAGATTATTAGGGAGATATTTGTTTTGTAAATAATAAAAACGGAATCGCTAAGAAAAATGGACAAACCTGCAACACCATGGCGATATAAAAATGAAAAATTCAAACGGGTGAAAAGTGCTGGATAAAGAAACTTGCAGATTATCATCCTATCAGACAAATGATTTGTAACCACAGCAAAGAAATCAAGAGAATGTAATGTGGAAGAAAGAAGAATAACAACAAAAATGAAATAGAAAGAAAAGTGATAATTTCAATAGGTATCCCTAAATAGGTGATTTTATTACTCGCCGAACAATTAATTACCTCAGATCCGTTACATAAGTGTTCCATATTTCCCATAACATAAAAACCTTCTTTTGCCCTCGAGAGCGCTACACAAACTCGATTATCAGTAGCTAAAAATCCAATTTTCTTCTCCGGATTGTTTCTAACCAATGAAAGCAAAATTATCTTGTTCTCTTCGCCCTGAAAATTATCCACCACAGCAATGCGTACATCTTGCAGGTTTTGATGAGCGTGTTTTTTCTGTTCGTCTTTCAACTGGTACATTTGGCCAAGATATGCAGCCAAAATAGTGATTTCAGATGCTTTGTAGTTATTATTGAGTAAATAAATGGCAAGCTGGATTAAGAATTTAGCCTCGTGAACGTTCTTTTTGCTAGAATCGCCATAAGGCTCTTCGGGTTCAATGTGGTCGATGAAAAAAAGAGAATGGGTCACACCGGATACTGTGGGGTACATTTCAACGCTCCTATTGTTATACAATTCCTTGTAAATAACCGGACTTATTAAACTGGATATTTCAGGACGCATCCGATGCTGCACGTTTAGAGTGTGACATTCGACGTTGTTCAGTATCATCCGTTCAAACAGGCTGATTCCTAGTTTGCATTTTCGATCCACCGTATAATCTGATGTCGTTGGTTTCAGTTGTTGATGGTCCCCTGAAAATATACAGTGTGATTTTTTAAGTGTGCAACATATGGGGATTTTTTTTAGTAATAGCACAACCCAAATACAAACAAGGCCAAAAGTTGGTGCATGTCTGATAATCATATTAGGTACACTTAGAATGGTTGCAAGTCAAACAGCATACAGGGTAGCTCAAACAATATCAAAGCTGGTACTGTTGTCGTAAACCAATAAACTCTTCATTAATAATACGATGCTCACTATACATTTATTTACAGTAAATTCCATCATCTGTTTAGTTTAGCTCCATGTTTTAATGATAGGTACTTTATAACTTTATTACTTATTTAAGGCTTGGAATTATTATACAGCTTCTTTCTATGATTTCTATTGCAAGAACCCCAATTATTATCCTTGCCGCCAAGGCGCCAGAGACTGTAGAGTAGACCCTTCTTTTATTTTATTGTCTAGACGGCCAGAATTTCCTTGTACCTTTAGAATTTTAGTGTTTATGATTTTATTTCACAAACTTTCCAAAATAAACTTTACATCTGTATAGAATTAGGTACCTTTATATTTTATTACTTGAAGACGACGCCCTCCTTAAGGACATCTCATGAAGCCGTTTTCTTGGGAGAAGAAAGACTGAAGACAAGACACTCTGAATCCGGGCTTCAAATCGAAAACACGAAGTTATTTTAAATTAGTCAAAGCTTCCCTCTTGCCAAGCTATTTTATTTTATTTTACTTTTAATAAACGAAACCTTTTTTTTAAACGAAAGTTAGAGTTTCAATTGCCGAGTCGGGACGATTATAACATTGGTGGCAGCGGTGCAATTCGCGGTATTACTCGAAGGAGCGCGGAGACGCAGCGAGTGCATACAAAAAATATCGCGGCAGTTTTGTGAGTACCAAGGAGCGCGGAGACGCAGGGTTTCCACAAGCAAGTCCAGGAAATTGGAGACATTTGAAGGTGCGCCCAGACGCAGCAGATTCATCCAAGCAGTGAGCAGGAAATTGAGAGGCGCGCGGAGACGCAATCAGCTACCTGTTGATCATCGGAAACTTCACGAAAATTCCTGCGCAACATGTGTGGGTAAGTGTTTTGTTTTCTGATGGTTTTCGCTGCACATTTCCTTCGCTTTATTTTTTATAGAGTTTAAGTTAATTGTTGATTAGGTACGTACATATATTATTTTAAGAATAACTGCAAATAACCAAAATTATTAAAAAAAAAAAAACAAATATTTTTAAATTATTATAAATTGAATTAATTTAAAAAAAATAAATAATAATTACTTAAAATGGCTGAGGGAAAAACTGCTTTCGATGTCCTAAATTTTATCAATCCTTATGATGGATTTGGTGATTCTAATTCATTACAATTCTTTATAAAAAATTGCGATGCAATGATGGCAATTGTTAGAGAAGATGAGAAAATTATGCTTGCAACTCTGATTTTTGGAACTAAATTAACCGGTAAAGCCCAGGAAGTAACTCAATATAAAACATTTCAAAATTGGGATGCAATAAAAGAATTTTTGATCGAACAATTTACTGATAAACGACCGCCGACACATTTTCTTATGCAAATAATGAACATAAAACAAAATTATAGAGAAAAAGTTAAAAATTATGGGGATAGATTAAAATATTTATACAACAAATATAAAGAAACATGCCATGTTAATTATCCGGATAATGAAGCGAAAATTTTAATAGATAACTTAGATTCAATTATAGTCAGCACATTTAGGAAAGGGTTAATCGATGAGAAAATTCAGATTCGTGTAATAGCTGAAAGTACTTACGATTTAGACAAAGTCATTTCAATAGCTGTCGAAATGGAATTAGAAAGTACTACAGAAAAAATTAGATTTTCACAAGGAATAAACCAAATAGGATATTTAGGGCAGAATAGGAATTTTAATGATAGAAATTCGCAAAACAGTACCTTGTTTTGCATGTTTTGCAATACTTACACTCACTTAACGTCAGAATGCCGAAAACTAAGAAACTATGAGCAGAGTCAAACAAACAGAAATAGAGGTGGTAGCTATCAAAATCAACAAAATAGTAACGTAGGAAGTAACAATAGAAATAATTCGAGATTTCAAAGTCATCAAAATTTTAATCACTCAACTAATCATGGAAATTTTAATAATTATTCTCGTCAATATAATGATAGAAATCCTCGAAATTTTTCTAGGAACGGAACTTTTGGACAAAATTTTCAAAATGATAGAACTCATACTAACCCTAACACACAAATAAATAGTATGCAACCACAGCAAATTCAAACAATATCTTCCCAATCAAATTTTCTCCAACCAAATCGCTCAGAACAAATTCAGGCAGGCCCATTTTTCCATTCTGTTCAAGGAAGTGATCCGGGAAATGGGTTAGAAGCGTCCCTTGCGAACAGCCAAGCGAACGCTTCAGAATAGAAACCTGCTGTTCTACACTAATAGGAAATAATAATAAGTTAACAACCCAAAATAATAATAAATTTAACAACAGATCAACTCAGGTCGCAGAACAACTGCCACCTGCTGCTTATATCGAAAATAATACCCATATTACTAACAGTAAAAACGCTCTAATAAATACACCTCCTTTCAAATCAATTTTTCTTTCGAACGGTCAAAAACAATTAGACATAATTAAAATCAACGCTGAAAATGTGAAAAATTCGGAAATTCAACTTTTGATAGACACGGGCGCGGATGTATCTTTATTAAAAGAGTCCTCATTAATAAGTAACGCTGATTTAGATAAAAATAATATAATTGAATTAAAAGGCATAACGGAACAATATATTTATACCTTGGGAGTCCTTCTTGTTCAAATAAATTTAAAAAATAATAAAACCTTAGAGCATTCTTTTCATATAATTCCTGAAAGCGTTCCTGTTAAACACGATGGACTTTTAGGACGAGACTTTCTTTCAAAGTATGAGGCTAAAATAAATTACAAGGATGGAACTCTCAGCTTTAAAGATAATGATTTCAAAATTCTGTCATCGGAAACAAATCACTATTCCTGCTAGATGCGAAATGGCTATTCCTGCGGTAGCAAACATCAGTGATGTGGAAGGAATTGTAACTTCTAAACAACTGTCAAATTGTCTTTTTTAGGGTCGTCAGTAACAAAAGTACGCGATCATAGATGCTTAATTAGTATTTTAAATATTTCTGAATACCCTGTAACTATCCCTCTACCAAAGGTAAATGTCGAGCCAATAAATAATAACGGGTTCCATATTTTCAACTTAAGTCTCAAAAACACAGAAAATAACATAAATCACATGGATCGTTTGCAAAAACTCTTACAAATTTGCAGTGATTTTAGTGATATTTTTCACCTAGAAGGTGACAAACCCTCCTATACAAATACAGTAGTACATAAAATACCGACGGACCCGGTTAAGGGACCTATTAACATTAAGCCATATAGATTACCTTTCAAACATGGAGAAATTATAAGTAATAAAACTCAACAAATGTTAGAAGATGGGATAATTTCACCCTCAACTAGTCCTTGGAATAGTCCCTTATTAGTAGTTCCCAAGAAAACTGACCATTCGGGAGTTCCTAATTTTAGAGTAGTAGTAGATTTTAGAAAAATTAATGAAATTACTACAGGAGGTTACACGTTTCCGTTACCTAATATCGTGGATATTTTGGACCAGCTGGGTAACTCACACTATTTTACAACTTTAGACTTAGCTGACGGATTTCATCAAGTTTCAATGGATGACCATGATAAAGAAAAAACCGCGTTTAGTACACCCACAGGACATTACGTTTATAATAGAATGCCATTCGGGCTTAAGGGAGCTCCCGCCACTTTTCAAAGACTTATGAATGCAGTTCTAAGTGGACTTAATGGTTTAAAGTGTTTTATTTATTTGGACGACATAGTAATTTATGCAAATAATTTAGATGAGCATAATGAACGGTTAATCGAAGTATTTAAGAAGCTTCGAGAACATCATTTGAAGCTAAAACCTTCCAAGTGTGAATTTTTACGCAAATAATATCTCTATTTAGGCCACATTATTACAGAAAATGGTATTAAACCCGACCCTTCAAAAGTGGAATGTGTGAAAAATTTTCCTACACCCAGAAACCCTAGGGATATAAAATCATTTTTGGGATTGATAGGATATTATAGGAAATTTATACAAAATTTTGCTAAAATCTCTAAACCTTTATCCAGATTATTGCAAAAAGATAAGAAATTTATATGGGATAATGCGTGTGACATTTCATTTCAGTCTCTAAAACAAACTATACTTTCTCCTCCCGTCCTACAGTATCCGGATTTTTCTAAACCATTCATAATCACAACCGATGCAAGTAATTTTGCGGTAGGCGCAATTTTGTCACAAGGGGAAATAAATAAAGATCGGTCAATAGCATTTGCCAGTAGAACTTTGAACAGAGCAGAGCAAAATTATTCGACAACGGAAAAGGAATTGACCGCCATAGTTTGGGCCGTTAAACATTTTCGACCTTATATTTTTGGTACCAAATTCAAAATTGTGACAGACCATAAACCGTTGCAATACGTTTTTAATATTAAAGATCCCGGATCGCGACTCACTCGTTTTCGATTAAAGCTTGAAGAATATGATTACCAAGTAATTTACAAGGCCTGTAAAATAAATACAAATGTAGACGCCTTGAGTAGAATTATCAATACGATCAATACCGATTTAATAACCGATTATGCAAATTTTCAAGAGTACCTGAAATCCCATATTATTACTAATTCAAATATCAAAGAAAGGAATACACACCTTTTTCAAGTTGACAGTAAGTCAGATCCTGTAATATTATTTATACCAAAAAATTTTAATAAAGATGAATTTACAATCCTAGAGAAGAATCCGCAAATGAAAAAGTTTTTATCATCTTATCGTCCAAACAAAAATTTTGAAATTTCCACGGCCAATCGATATAGTAACAACGAATGTAAAGTTTTCCTACTTATTGATAATGAAAATTTATTCAGTGACATAAACTATGAACATATTTGGTCTTGCTTAATAAGTTTACGAAATGAAATAGGGGATATACATACTAAACTTTCTCTTCTCAAATACCACTACAATCCTCTAATAAAATGGGAAATGATTTATCCAATGTTAAGATATATTTTTAAAAATTCAGGAACCGAAATAACAATTTTTAATAATAATTTAATTACACCCAACGATTCTGATAAAGAAACCCTTCTTAACGAATTTCATAATTCTCCACTAGGAGGTCATCAGGGAGTTTCGCGCACATACAAAAAAATTTCTCAATTTTACACTTGGAAAAATTTAAAAAAAGATGTTAAAAAATTCATCAGGAAATGCGAACTTTGTCAGAAAAACAAATTATCGCGTAAAACAAAAATGCCAATGGAAATAACTACAACTTCTTCTAAGCCATTTGAAAGATGTTTTCTTGACATAGTCGGACCCTTGCCCCAAACAGTGGCAAGCAACAAGTATATTCTCACTTTCCAAGATGACCTGACAAAATTTATTATTAACGTGCCAATGCAAAATCAAGAAGCTTCTACAGTAGCTCATCATTTCGTAACAAATATAATATGCCTCTATGGGTTACCAGAAACGCTAGTCACGGACCAAGGTACAAATTTCTTAAGCGATCTTTTCAAACCTACCTGTAAATTTTTGAAAATAAAAAAAATTCAAACTACCAGTTACCATCCGGAATCAAACGGTGCATTAGAACGCTCTCATAGGGTATTAGAAGAATACCTGAGGCATTTTATAGCAGATTCGCAAGAAGATTGGGACGACTGGCTGCCCTTCGCAACTTTTACCTATAACACGACTCCACATAGTGCAACTAAGTTTTCCCCATTCGAACTTTTATACGGACATGTTCCTAATTTGCCAACTTCTGTTCAACAACCCGCTAGAACTAAGTATACATATGATCATTTCGTTATTAATCTCAAAGAGAAACTTCAATATTTCAATCGATTAGCTAGAGAAAATTTGTTACAAAGTAAGTCAATATCAAAAAAAAATTACGACAAAAAAAGTTTCATTCAACAATTCGATGTAGGAGATATGGTTTTATTGTTTGATGAATCTGTTCGTAGGGGTAGGAGTAGAAAACTTTCATCTCTCTGGGTAGGTCCCTATAAAATAATTAAAAAACACTCCGATGTTAATTATACTATACAGAAAGGAAAATCGACACAAAAAATTCATGCAAATAGGTTGAAACATTTTTACGATTAAATATAATAAATAGGCTCCTGTAGATATGTAGAGATCGTACAAGTGCTATAGCATTTTTTATCTTCCCTTTCAGAATTTTCCTCCAAATTCTCATGCTAACGGGTGTTGCGATTCAGGCCGACTATAATGTAACTTATTATGACTTCAACCCAGGAATTCATTTTGAAAAAATGGGGGAACTTCGCCTCACCAATAACAAATGGAAGATAATAACATATGTAGAATTAGATAACCTTAATGATAAGTACTTACTATTAGAAAATTATCATTGAACTACAGCAAGCCTATGTGACCATACTAACGCAAGATATCATTTCAATATTTGCGATTTATTTCTAAAATCTTCCAAGTATATTTTAGATAAACTACATAAAGAGCTAAGGGGAGTGTACGAGTTGATTGGTCACAACAATTTAAATAGAAAAACTAGGGGATGGTTCGATATAGTAGGCAAAGCTTCAAAAGTCTTATTTGGTATCCTTGATACCGACGATGCAAAATATTATGATGAAAAGATTTCACAATTTTCCAAGGACGAAACCTCATTAACCAGCCTTTTGAAAGAACAGACAAAAATTGTTCGATCCACTATTTCGAATTTTAATAATACAATTGGCACCTTAGATTTTAACGAAAATATTTTAAAAACCAACGTAAAGAAACTCACGGAAGAGTTGAACAAAGAAGTCTCGGACATTAAATTTTTAACATTTAAATCTAATCTAGAGGAGCATATCGTTATGTTCAATATGATACTCAACCAGTTGCAAGTTGAAGTCGCGACTCTTATAAACGCAATTTTAATAGCGAAAAAAGGTATTTTACACCCAAACATTTTAACACCTGTACTCTTAATTAATGAACTAAGAAATATTCACGACTCGATTCCACATGGATTAGAATTTCCAATACCATTGGATCCATCAAGTTCCAACCTACTTTTTAACGTTATAAACTTGCAAGTATATGTAGAGGAGAAGCGACTTATCTATATTATTAATGTCCCTCTGGTAGAAACTCACCTCTTTTACCTTTACAAAGTATCACCGTTTCCAAAACAGGTAGGGGCTAATGAATTTATTCTCATCCAACCGTCTTCAAAATTTCTAGGTTTAGACGAAAACAAACAACAATTTTTAACTTTATCTGCACTTGAACTTAATAACTGTCTCAAAATTTTCCAAAACAAATTTATTTGCAAACAACAAAAACCTACTTTATTGGCGCACATTAACAATAACTGTGAAGTCATGTTATTACAAGCAAGTAACAAAATTCCCGAGATATGCGATAAACGAATAATACATTCAAGTAATGCAATTTTTGTACAGTTACAAACAACAAACACATGGTTATTTGCAGTTCCTAATTTAGAAGTTTTGACAATTTCTTGTAATAGTGATAAGAAACCTGTTGATATTGTATTAAAAAATTGTGGCAGCGTCTCCATCGGAAAACATTGCAAGGCTTATAGTGCTTCGACAATGCTTACCCCACACGATAATACCTACCAGTCGAATGTTTTCAGTGAATTTGTGCCTCCCATTCACATTAGTGATGATTGTTGTGAACACCTCAAAGACAAAAATATCAATTTGACAGAGTTTTTTTTGAATGAGCATTATAGAACACTCATGAAACATATTCCCGAGCTCGACATTGCAAGTCATAAATTAGACGACATCCAGAAGTTAACCGACGAGCTACAGAAGAAACAAATGATGAGTACTTATACTCATTCAGCGTCGACTATTGCTATTCTCATTGCAGTATTGCTAGTCTTATTCATATTCTATAAAATGTATAAAAAATGTACAAATAAATCTGCCTGTTGTGGAATCATACCTAACTTATGTATTAAAGTAAACCAATCAGTCGAATCAATTCCACAGCACGTAGTACGGTATAGTCATAATACCGCACAGACACCTTTAGGTTCTGGTGATGTATCTGAGGAAGAAACTATAAATATAAATCCGGTTCGAACCAATCAACCAATAGGTTATATCCCATCTAGACGATCCATTAAATCAAAGAATTAATTTTTTCAATGTTCACATATAGTGCTTCTGCTGTTTCATGTTTCACCAATTAGTAAATTTACTAAAGCTACCAACTAAGTATCTTGTATAAGTTAATTAATTAATTAGTATAAGTATTATTCACATTTTTTATTTTTTATTATAATTTTCGATTTTATTACACTAACGCTATATAAAATCTCTTTTTGAAAAGGGAGGTGTCGTAAACCAATAAACTCTTCATTAATAATACGATGCTCACTATACATTTATTTACAGTAAATTCCATCATCTGTTTAGTTTAGCTCCATGTTTTAATGATAGGTACTTTATAACTTTATTACTTATTTAAGGCTTGGAATTATTATACAGCTTCTTTCTATGATTTCTATTGCAAGAACCCCAATTATTATCCTTGCCGCCAAGGCGCCAGAGACTGTAGAGTAGACCCTTCTTTTATTTTATTGTCTAGACGGCCAGAATTTCCTTGTACCTTTAGAATTTTAGTGTTTATGATTTTATTTCACAAACTTTCCAAAATAAACTTTACATCTGTATAGAATTAGGTACCTTTATATTTTATTACTTGAAGACGACGCCCTCCTTAAGGACATCTCATGAAGCCGTTTTCTTGGGAGAAGAAAGACTGAAGACAAGACACTCTGAATCCGGGCTTCAAACCGAAAACACGAAGTTATTTTAAATTAGTCAAAGCTTCCCTCTTGCCAAGCTATTTTATTTTATTTTACTTTTAATAAACGAAACCTTTTTTTTAAACGAAAGTTAGAGTTTCAATTGCCGAGTCGGGACGATTATAACACTGTGAAGTACCCTTATTTTAGAAAATTCAGCAAAATGTTATAGAGAAAAGTTGTTTGGAATTAAAAGTTATGCCTAAATACCAATACATAGCCTCCTAAGATTTTTTTTATTTTCTTTTGAAAAAAATCTATAATTTCTATATTTTTTTTAATTTTTATTTCCGCCCTTAATACTTTCAAAAATTAATTAAAATCAAATCAATTTTACATAACTTTGTTCAAATTCAAGCATTTTGTAAAATTAACTTAGATTTTTAACTTTTTCTGGAATCACAACATTCATGTTTGTTGCAATGATATTCAACACAACTTTAAAATGTCGCAATTTTTTTTCTCAACAAGTTGAAACATTACTAATGATAATAGCCATATTAAAAAAACTCTCCTTAAAGTGCAAAAGTTTTATTTTATTTAAGTAAATATTAGTAGAAGTTTGATATTTTTTGAGCCACCCTGTATGCTGTTTGACTTGCAACCATTCTGAGTGCACCTAATATGACTATCAGACATGCACCAACTTTTGGCCTTGTTTGTATTTTGATTGTGCTATTACTAAAAAAAAAATCCCATATGTTGCACACTTAAGTAATGACACTGTAGATGTATTTCATAAAAAAGCAGACTGTTTTTTTTTGGATAAAAAGTCTGCAAATCATAATTTCATAACTAGCTAACCTCAGGGAAAATCCATTTTAAGTTTTGAAATACTCAATGTTAAAATTCAAATACAGAAAATTTCTTACCTAATAAAATTAAATGTTGGCAATTTGTTGTCAAAGCCGTAACTATGTGACTCTCCAACACTTCGGCCGCTTCCTCAACCAAAACTATGCGACTTTGTATGGCTTCCAACATCGACCTATTTCTAGCAGCGCATGTAGTAGTCATACCTATTATATCCATTTCATTCAATAATTTTACATTTCCCATTTCTCTTCGATCCTTATAACCCGCGTATAGCAATCTTAGTTCGTTCAATTTGAAATCAAGTTTCATCCGAAGATTTGCTTTGTGAGTTTCAAACCAAGACTTGTACAATTGCCAGCGGTTTATTGATGGGATCATGAAAGGATGATAGAAATCGTTAAAATTTACTTGTGGCTGTTCGAATTCTATTCCCAAACAGTTTCGCAAATAATCAATTTTCTTGAGCAAAAAATCCAGTTGAGCCCATAGGAACTTGCGATGACTTCCACTTAGACCTTTTTCCATTTTTATAAAATCATGTAACTCCTTGGATTTTTTTTCGAGAGTTTCAATGGTAATATGACTAATAGCTTCCAAGGTGGGGTTTCTGAAAGAAAAATTACTCAAAAATCACAAAAAAAAATCCCACAGGAAATAAGTCTTACATTGACTTAACCGCTAAAACTCATAATAAAATTGTGCCACAATCAATCCAAAATTATTAGGAAAACAAATGTTTGGACAGGAACAGTTATACAGGGTGTCCCACTGGGAGCCAAATCGATCTATACAGAGAAGCAAAAAAGCCGCGCAGAATATTTGTAATAAATTATAATAATCTCGTATACGAAAAAATGTCCTCAATGAAAGTTGCTTATACCACATTTCTACCTAAACGAATTGTTTCTGTCACGTGACAGTAGGAGAGCTGGCAATATTAACGGGTATGTGATCGTTGCAATGGATAATTTTCAGATAAAAGAATAGCTCATAGTTACCTATAAACTAAATGGATGGGTGGCCTCGATTCTCATGGCCGCAACCCTTTGATGGCTGGGCGTAAACTACCCCTCTTTTTCCGAAGGAACAATGTTATCGTTGCAATAGCTGAAAATTGGTAGATATATTCTTTAATATGTCTTCTCAAATAATATATAGGGTGGCCTCGATTTTGATGGCCGGAAATGATGGCGACCTTCATTGAAAGTCGAGCGTGCGCGTTATTTTCACGTTATTTTGCTTGCTGAATACAAATTATTCAAAGCGACAACTATCAAAGTCACTTTTAAAGTTAAAAGACGATTCTGTGAAGAGGATTTTGCATACGGCTGTAGATCTTTAGACAAAAAATGAAACATGAAATTGTGTTATTAAAGTGTTTGCCGCATATGATGAGAACCCCCTACACCGCAAGGTACTTCTTATTTGTTGCGCTTATGGTTCTTGAAGTATATTTTTAAAAAACTACTTTACGGCCATAAGAATCGAGGCAACCCATCCATTTATTTAAAAGGTTACTATGAACTATTGTTTTATGTAGAAATTATCCATTGCAACGATCACATACCCGTTAGTATTGCCGGCTCTTGGACTATTAGAATCTAGGCAATAAAATCCCTTACAAATGATGTATTATGTTCCTATACCTAAATAGTGCGGTTCCGAGAATACAAGCAAGTTTCCGATAGAATTGGATTATTTTGGGATATTTGTCTAATGGCGATTCCGATTGGAAGATTTAATTCGCACTGAGTGTATTTCCATATCTTTCTCTCAGCCTGTTAAAGAAACAGAGAAATACATTTTTTTGCACTCATTTGCATGTGCATTGCACCAACTGGAAAAGCCATTGAATAGCTATGAAATATCACGATGAAACATATTAGATAAATCAAGCATCAAGCCACGTGATTTTCTACAATATCAAAATTGACAGGATAGCCCACTTCCATAGATGCGTATGGTAAATTCTGTAACGTCATTGGATTGGACTGTCAAAAACATCGGAAGTAGAAGAGAGACAAAAACACAACAGGTCTGTTTCCAGAGAAATCACAAACCAGTCAGAGCGTTTTTGATTGAAGCAAATTGCCATTAACCAGTTTCTACAATAATGAACTATATACTACACTTAACTGGAACGGACCTAACAGCTGCTTTCATTGTCGATTTTTGAGGCAAATTTTATTGTAGAGTGAGAACGACAATAAAAGAGGTTGTTTGCTCTGTCGAACGCGCACATATTTACGAGCAATTCACCATATTAGTTAGGTTAATAAAAAACGGGCGCAAAATTTGAAAGGGGTTCAAAACACATTTCAAAAAATTTGATAGCAATGTATTTCTTATGGGGGATTCAGAAGAGTAATTTTCAGACGGGAATATCTCGAGTTCTGGGCATTTCTAGTATTTGAACCTATATTATACGTCAAATATTGCAGTCAATAATTATGCGTCCTGCTACAGCAGACTGTGCGTCGACAAAACATATGGTTCGAAATAAGTATTTAGTACGCCACCAGATCTCACCCGAAATTTATAACGCTCTGATAGGAACAATTAGCCAGAAAACATCACTAACTTTGAAATGGGGGAGCCTACAACATTAAATGAAATGTACAAACTTCTTTCGGCTGATAACAAGAAACAGACTGCGCAACTGACCGAGAAGATAGAACAGAGTGAAGCAAACGTCTCTAGACACTTAAGAAAGACCAACAGAAAAATTGTTGAAATTGAACAAAGAAACATTTTCTTAGAGAGAAAGATAAGAAGGAACAATGTGTTGTTTTTTGGATATAAAGTTGAGGATTCGAAAGATCTACTTAAACTGACAATTTCAAAAATAAATGAATTGTTAGCAACCAACATTAACAATATTTATAAAGTTTGGTAAGCCAGATTCTGCACCGACTCTCATTGAGTTTATTTCCTGCTTAAAGAAAGCAGAGCTATTCAAGGATCCAGACAAACTTTGAGCGCTAAAAAACACACCATATGCGATTTCAAATGATCTCTGCGAAGAAGTTAGGAAGGAACTGAAAACACTTAGAAAACACCAAAAAAAGCACTCGACGAAAATAAACAGGCAAAAATTAAAGGTCTAAAGTTGGAGATCGACAATAAACTCTATACAGCTAAGGAACTAGAAGGCCTCTCAGAATCAGATATGATATACCTACTACCAGCTTGGAGACCGAAGAATCAAGCGAAGAAGAAAGTGAAGAAGAAGAGCAAAATGTAGATCAGAGAACTAGTATCGATCAAGATCAAAATAAAAATAGCAAGAAGAGAAAACAACAGAAAACACCCAGTCCAAGTCCAGGTGGAATGAAAACAAGGTCTAACAAAAAGAAAAAAACTATCCGAAAACTATAAATTCTACACTTCTTTTTTCAGCTTAACTAAGCACCTACAGTAAATGAAAGTTGTGAACTTTAGGTTAGGTTAGGTTAGGTTAGATATAGGATATAGATATAGGAAAAAAAGTGATTGTGTTTGTATTTGGTTTCCTTTTCATTCTAAATTACACTACTTCAAGTGATTAAATAGAAAATTTCCAACCGGATAAATAGGTACTAACTTTGAATTTCGTTTTGATGTAATAAAAAAAACAAAAAAAAATGAATAACGATACAGATTTTGTGTCGCAGGAAATATCCACAAAATTGATTAATGACATAAACCAGCTCAATTCTTATTTAATTGATAATAATTTTAAAATATTACATCTAAATATTTGCAGCATAAATAAAAACTTTGATAATCTTTTATGTTTTTTACAAGAACTTTCAAATAGTTTGGATATTATAATTTTGACTGATATATATTCAGTGAACGATTTAAATATCTCAACCAACAATTTTGTCACCAAACTCCAGAAATTGATAACGAAATACACAGTCACTATTAAACAAAGTAATATGAAAAATGGCAAAAACAGTTGGATAACAAAAACTATTCTTAAAGACATAAAAATCAAAAATGAACTGTATAAACAACACTTACAAAACCCACAAAACATAACTATAAAAAATAAATACATAAGAACAAAAAGTGATAGAAAAAAACAATAAAACGCTCAAAAAAAATTATGCCGACAAACTATAAACTAAACTAAAAATTTAAATGTTAAGAGTCCATAATTTGATGCTGTCGTTTATACCTCGAATTAAAAAATTAAATTAAATTAAATTAAATTGAAACTTGAAAGTTGGTTAATGCCTGGTTTATACTTCTGAATTATTAAGAATTAAACTAAATTGAGAATTAAACTAAATTAAAAATTTAAATGTTAAACGTGCATAATTTGATACTGTCGTTTATACCTCAAATTAAAAAATTAAATTAAATTAAATTAAATTGGAAGTTGGCTACTTTCAACTAAGAATTAAAAATTAAGGAGATCGATCTATTTAGCTAGTTTTTGTTTATTTTAATGTTCCTTTCTGTCATTTGTGATTACGTAGAGAGCTAGCTAATTTCAAAAAAATCCATAATTCTTAATTTTAGGTATAAACTGCATTTTTAAAGTTAAGTTTAATTTAATTTTCAATTTATTTCTTAGTTTAGTTTAATTCTTAATTTTTGAAGTATAAACAAGTCATAATAAAACCTCGAATGAAACTAAGCAGAAAACAAAAATCGGAAAAATACAACTAGAAAATTCTCAAGAAATTACTAACGAATTTGAAATTGCAAACCATTACAATTCCATTGAAATAGGCAGGGTCGGCGCAACCCTTGCGCAACCATTAGGCGAACTAGGCGGTCGCCTATAGGGCGGCAAACTTAGAGAGGCGGCAAAAAGGCAACAAGAAAAAAAAAATAAAAAAAAAAAAACATTATCCTGGTGACATGTTTTTTTATCCTGCTTTTCTGTATAATATTTGAAATTGCATTTCTTTTGTAAACTTTGCCCTTCTTATGACCACATGCCACATAACTCCAGGGTGAACATTAGGTACAACCAGACATGATTAATTACCCTGGAGTTAAAATTCTTAAAATCAACCCGAAGGTAATTCGCTGTTGAGAAACTAACCCCTTGACTGTTTCGGCTAGCCCTAATAATTTAAAAAAACAAATGAGAATTTGTTCAGGGCCGTCGCTAGGGGTCGAGCAAGCGGGCGGCCGATTCAAATGGGCGTTCAAATTTTATATTATAAATATTTTTGGCTCAAAATTAACGGTCTTGCGCGTGGCACCCAAATAAATTTTGCAGGGCAGATTTGCAATTTTTTTTTCCGAGACAGCCAGAAGCCCTACGACGGCCCTGCTGACGGATTGACCATACTTTCATGCGTATATTAGCATTAGCGCCCCCTTATGGAGTATTCAGACTAATATGATACTTTTTGCAGATGACTAAAATTTCTATTGAGTACTATCTAGCGTCAATCGTCAAATCTCTTCCTAAGCTTATTTGAATAATTATAGGTAGGTAGATGCTGCATGCAAAATAATCAGTTTTAAAACCTTATTTACTTACTGGAAAACAAAGTTGCACAAGTGATTAATATTATTTTCTTCTTCAAGAGGATCTGGTACTTGATTGGGTTTCTCAATATTTTCCTAAAAAAAAATTTTTGTACAATATGAGTCAAATATCAAATCAAATCAAATCCTGATCAGTGATAACACTCAATTCAAGTTTTACCTTTTTCGTGAATAATATGGTTCCGTCGTCAAAAAGTAACCACTCCAAAAGTGTAGTGCCTCCAAGAAAGCTTTCTTGAATTTTAGAAAAAAACATCTCGAATGAAATCCCTTGTGGTTCGATATAAAACAATTCATTAAGATCACTCTTGATTTCAGAAATTTCTTTCTCTACGCATTTTATGTTTTTGTATTCGTTGTTTCTGAGCATCTTATCTCTAATCTCTAACATAATACTTCGAGGTACATCCGATGCGGTAATGCTTTCAAGCAATGGCAAATCCTCGAAGGGATCTCTTTTTTTAGATTCTCTCCCGTAATATAATATTCGCATCAATTCTAAAACGTGTTCAGTTAAATTAAGTTTACAGGTGCTAATCGAATAATCTTATAAAGGTTGTAAAATATAATAATGTTCCATGCTTAGCGGATCTGACGAAACAAGTTAAAATTGAAATTTAATGAACATGCTCTAAAGTGCTTTTTAATTTTCCTGTTTCCCGATTTTCAGCTCGTGAACATGATATTTTTTGTGTGCAAATACAAATCGTGAATTCAAGTTACACGCATATTTTTTAACATTAAATAATTTATAAACAATGGATAATTAGTTCTAAAATAAATCCTAAAAATTGTTACGATAAATTTATCATTTACGTAACATGTTCCATCTCTTCTCATTTTCATTATAAAGTTGTATTTTTGCCAATTCAGAATCAGCAAAATAATAATTCCTAATTTGGGTAATTTGAAAATATCAAAAGAAAATTTAATTGGTTCAAAATAATACCAGTATTGCTATCTATCCATCATGAGCATTAAATGCAAATATCTATTGTTAATTGACAAAGTTCTTGAAAAGTTCGATGAGTATTTTGCAGCCAGCAGGAATCTCGTATACGAGAGAGTAAAGTTTCTGCAGCGAGTGCCACATATGACTTTATAAATGATTTGACAATTTTGGCACACACGTGTGAATGGGGTTCTAAGGAAAAAGGGATGATAAAGTTAATGCTAATTGCAGGTCTGTCTGATGCTAGATTGTCGGCGCAGTTACAGGCAAGAGCGAATGACCAATTGGACGAAGTTATTAAACGGGTACGCTTAGCAGAATCTTTGCGTGCTCAACAGTCCACTGTGCGTACAAGCGGGTCTTCAATGGGTCCAGATATGAGACATCTTATGGAGTGGAAGTGAACACAGTGCATCGTGGTCAAAGTCGAGGTAAAAACATAAAAGTTTTAGGGATGGAAATTTCCATTACGAAACTGAATCAGAGTGCAGAAAATGTGGTTTAAAACCTAGACATGCATTTGCGAATTGCCCAACATTGGACAATGACAGGCCAAATGCAGATATAAGAATAAGCCAAATGATCAGTTAGTAGGTGGTGTTCCAAAAATGGCGGCAACCATTACAGAGCACACCACAAACACAGAATCTTGGTAAAACATGAATGGAAAAGAAGTTCCCACAGGAAGTGAGGATGTCGATTATTTTTTCTTGGGTAGTATCATAGAAAAGCCTTCATTGCCATGGCGAACTTTGGTACTTATCAATGGCGTACCCACAGAATTTAAAGTAGACACTGGTGCGGACGTCACAGTGGTAAGATCAAACCTTTTTAATGAAAAAGAAGTAAAAAAATTGGAAGTTCCTCTCAAACCGTTATTTTCAGCATCCGGCAATATGATGCAGGTTTTGGGCACCTTTGATGCTCAAATACGGTGGCGCAACAATGAAATCTTAACTAAAATTTGTGTAGCAAATAATGTAAATGAAAATCTTTCGTGGATCGGGTCTGTTAATTGGGTCGAACAATACTCTTCGCTTTTCAAAGGACTTGGAAAACAGTACTATCGTAAAAAACTGAATCCAAATACTTCACCTTTTGCAATTTCCACCCCTAGAAGAGTTGCTATTCATTTGAGACAAGCTGTAAAGGACCAAAGACGTTTTTAAGACTTTGCGGACTGTCTGGGTAGCTGACTATCTCGTATCTATTACTCTTTTAACGGATCTTCATCAGCAACATGACATTTAGTTGGGTGGACTCTACCTGAGTTGGGAATCCCACAGCTATAGAAACAGTGTTGCCGATAGTTTGCGTAATTCGGGGGGTGTCTTAGGGCGCGAGGTTGCCAAAAGATGTTTGATTTCAGAGTGAATCTCGAGCCCCATTGAGCGTCCGGGCCCTAGGCGGCCGCCTAGTCCGCCTAGTGGTAAAACCGGCGCTGCCATTTGGCCGTTACGCTTTCAGTCGTTTGCAAATGAGAATAACGTCAGTAACGGAAAGATTCCAGCGCGAAATATTCGATATTTTGGAAGGCTTACAAGGGGTTGTTAATGTAGCCGACGATACCCTTATTTGTGGTAGATTCAAAGAGCATGATAGCAGGCTCGGAAAAATTTTGGAGCGATTCCAGGAGTGTGGTCTTAAACTCAACAAAAACAAATGTGTTTTTGGGTTTCGAGAGTTAATATTCTTAGGCCACGTGGTCTCCAAAGATGGCATATCAATAGACCCTGAGAAGATTGCAGCCATAAACGGCATGACAAAGCCAACTGGTATCATTGGTGTGAGGAAAATATTGGGTTCTCTTCAGATGCACGCAAAATTTATTCCCAATCTGTCAGACCTTGCTAATCCTTTAAATCAACTTTTAGCTAAAAATTCTGAGTTTTGCTGGAATAAAGTCCACGAACAGGCTTTTCTTAAAATTGAAAAAGCACTTACGACGGCGTCAGTGTTGGTACATTGTGCACCTGGGCGTCCAACCAGAATAGCAGCTGACGCATCCTCTTATGGTTTAGGTGCAATTTTAGAACAACGGAATGGCGATTAACCTTTGCGTCCAGTATTTTATGTATCGAGAACGCTATCAGACACTGGAAAGCGATATGCGCAGATGGAAAAAGAAGCACTGGCTTCAACGTGGGCATGTGAAAAATTTAGACAGTATTTGATAGGCCAAAATTTTGTCATCTTGACCGATTATAAACCGTTGGTGGAGCTTCTTGGTACAAAAGAGAGATGGAGATAGATAAACAAGGTGAAAATTACAACCGCATACCACAGAGTGTTAAATGTCAACCCTTTAAAAGTTAATGACAGAGTATGGATCACCAACCAAAAATGTTTCGGAAAAATTGTTAATATTGGGCCAGAGCCTAGATCATATGTGGTTGTGGGAGATAATAATCAGGCATATCGAAGAAATAGACATCACCTAGTTCTTGCAGAGGGAAAAAACGCTCCAGTTGACACAAACATTGTCTTCTATTTGCCTGCAGATATCTTTTATTCAAACCCTTGTTCAAGCCAGACTTTTCCTTAAAGTGAAGAGGAGACAGAGGAAAATAACGAATAAGGGAACGCAGAATACGAAGAGACAGAGGAAGGCAACGAAGAAGAAAGCGAAGAAGGAAGTGAAGAAGACAACGCAGAGAACAAGGCACTGAGACAAGAAGACAACGCAGAGAACAAGGCACTGAGACCTCAGCAGTCTATAACACTAAGAGGCAGGCCTAGGGCGAAAATCTCTAATGCATGTATGACACGATCTAGAGCGACGACTACGCGTTTTGGTCGTGTTAGTAGACCTCCGCGGTGTGGCTGTGTAGATGACCCTGTTGGAATGTGTCACTTTTCCACCTAAATACACAATATACTATTTGGGCCTAATGACCTAATTAACTAGCGGTTTTTTGTTTTGAACATAACCTTAATTTAAATTATTATAGTTTGTAAACAATTAAAATGATTCTAGTGGATTTTTATCTATTTTCTTTTATTCCACGTGGTTTTTCATTGTGAAGTGAATATGGTCTTTTGAGTGTAGTTTTCTGATTGGTTGATCTGGTTAATACGCAGTACGCAGTTAAGTGTAAAAAAAACAGGATAGTTTTCCTATTAGGCAATCTCAAGACCTGTCAAAAACGAAATTCAATATGGAAGTTCTGTTAAATCATCGGCTTTTGATCTACAAAAATGAATTATTATCAAAACAACGCAGGGTTTTATTGATTGCTGCAATTAAAAGAAATGATCTAACAGAGGCTCGATTTTCCATTAATAATAATACCTTAAGATATTCACTCTTCATCGGAGAATTTATTAATAAATTTAAAAAAAACGTAGAAACACTATAAAATTCACTTTGAACACAACAAGGGTCAGAACACTAAAAAATACGTAGACATACTAAAGATTATAAAATTTACTATAAAAACAACAATGACCAAAACGAATGAAAAATACGTAGAAATACATAAAATTCATTTCTATTGAATCGGCTGTTACTAGGTGGAAATTGATTATCTAGTAAAAGATTTTTTAAAGTAAATTGATATGCTTATGTATTTCCACTAATTTTTGTTAAACTTTAACATGTTTCGCTACATTGTAGCTTTATCAGAAAGATTTAGACATAAAAGTGAAATTGTCAAATATAAATAAGGTAAAAGTAACATTTGAAATTCATTATTAAAGTTATGATTAGATTATATTAGGTGATTTGCATAATTTGAGTCTGTTTTCTTTTTATTGAAACTATTATCATGTTCTTTAATTCTAGTACCAAAATTTCTACCTGTTTGACCTATACATATACTTTGGGACAATCTTTACAAGATAATTTATAAACTTCAGATTTATCACATATTTTAGTTTTAGATTTATTATTTTTTAAATGAAAGCCTAATGTATTTTTAGTTTTGAAAGCAACATTTACATCGTTTTTGTTAAGAAATTTTCTAATTTTATTACTAGTTTGTCCTTGGAAAGTTATAGTTTTAAAATTATTATGATTTTGTAATTTTTTAGGGTATAAGTACTAAATTAATGGCATTTTTGTATAGTTTTTTGTTTAAAATATTATCGATTAATTTTGAGGAATAACCATTATTGATAGCAATTTGTTTAATTAAGTTTAATTCTTTTTGGAAGTTAATTAATTAGAAACATGAATTTTCTATATTTCATAAACCTACTCATACTGATACAGTTATACACAATACATCTTGTCATCCTATCCAACACAAATTAGCTGCTTTCAACAGTATGATACACCGATTAATAACAATTCCCATAAATAACGTTAACTTCCAAAAAGAATTAAACTTAATTAAACAAATTGCTATCAATAATGGTTATTCCTCAAAATTAATCGATAATATTTTAAACAAAAAACTATACAAAAATGCCATTAATTTAGTATACCCTAAAAAATTACAAAATCATAATAATTTTAAAACTATAACTTTCCAAGGACAAACTAGTAATAAAATTAGAAAATTTCTTAACAAAAACGATGTAAATGTTGCTTTCAAAACTAAAAATACATAAGGCTTTCATTTAAAAAATAATAAATCTAAGACTAAAATATGTGATAAATCTGAAGTTTATAAATTATCTTGTAAAGATTGTCCCAAAGTATATGTATAGGTCAAACAGGTAGAAATTTTGGTACTAGAATTAAAGAACATTATAATAGTTTCAATAAAAAGAAAACAGACTCAAATTATGCAAATCACCTAATAGAATCTAATCATAACTTTAATAATGAATTTCAAATGTTACATAATGAAAACAAAGGGCTAAAATTAAATCTTCTAGAATCTCTAGAAATAAACAAACTTAAAAATTTAGACTGTTTACTGAATGGGATTTCGGTCACCGACAGATTTTGTTGAAACTTTAGTATATAATTTAAGAAGTCGAAATAAGCATTTTCTTTCATTGCACTGACCTTGTAGCGATACATGGTGATACTGAAAAATCAAGTCAAAGTTATTTTTTTGAAATTATTATCTACTGGTAAAATATTGTAATTCAACTTTGTTTGATAAAATAAAAACTTATATATAGGTACTCCATAAAAAATGATACTTTAATTTCTAGCATGTACAGGGTGGTCCAATTTGGACACTATTAATAGGAAAAGCTTCATAACTTTTTTATTCATGGAAATAATTGATTTTTTTTAACAACTTTTTAGAAGTACTTTTTCAAGCAGAATCCAGTGATATTATCAGTGTTTTTCTATTTGTCCCTGATTTCGAGATATCGGGTCGATTTTTTTTTGATAGGACACCCCATATATAAGTTACTCATTGGATAGCTCTGCTGTTGCTGATTCCAATAATACTGCATCAAATCTTCAAAGACTCACCCTGGCGCAAATATAAATACGGTTCACAATTCGCTTGTAGCGAACATCCAGTGACACTAAAAAGGAAACTAACAGCCCGAAACTGGATCTGACAATACTAAACAACTTAACAACTCTGGCCGAAGTTAGAAACGAATTAGATAATAAACTGAATGTAATAAACAGGGCAGAGAATCAAGAAGTGGACTTGGAATTTCCATCAATACTATAGCGTCAGGAAAAAAGCTTGGATTCCTGATGAATTCCTCGATTTGATGGAAGAAAGACGTCTGCAGAAAGACCCAGCCAGCATGTCGTCAGTTGAATCGTGAAATAAAAAACATAGTCAGGGTAGCTAAAGAAAACTGGCTGAACGAACGGTGTGAGGAAATCGGAGCAAAATATGACAATTTCAATAAGCAGACGAAAATTAGAGGAGCTGCTGATGTGTACAAACCTCGACAGACCGGCAATCTGTTGGACAGTCAAGGTAAAATAATTCCTGATGTCAACGACAAACTAAAACAGTGATGGAGCTACATCAAAAGCCTGTTTCAGGACGAGAGATCGGACATTCGTGAAGAGTATTCACGAGAAGGACAAGATATACATATATGCTAAGGAAGAAGTCCAACGCGCCATTGAGTTATTCAAAAACGCAAAAGCGGTAGGTCCAGACGGTGTTCACTCAGAACTTATTAAAATCCAACAAATGAAGAATCACTACACGCAATGGTGGGCATCATTCCCTCTGACTCGCTTAATTCAATTTTTGTGACGCTTCCGTAAAAAAAAGCTCTGCTAAAAGATGTAGCGAATATTGCCTTGTTAGCTTGATGAGCCACTTTTTCAAGATTTTTCTAAAGATCATCCATAAGAGAATATACACAAAGTGCGAGTCCTTCACGGGCGAATTCCAATTTAGTTTTCGTAACGGTTTTGGTACAAGAGAGGCCCTGTTTAGCATCCGAGTACGGATTAAAGATCTAGAGATGTTTCTGTTCCTGTATACGCATGCTTCATAGCCTATGAGAAAGCATTTGACAGGGTACAACATGCGAAGCTTATGAAAATTCTCAAGAATGTAGACCTAGATGATAGAGAACTCAAGATCATTGCAAATCTCTACTGGAATCAGACTGCATAAATCAAGATAGACCAACAAATATCTGACGAAGTACGGATAAAAAGAGATGTCCGGCAGGGTTGCATCCTCTCGCCATTATTTTTCAATATTTATTCGAACATTTATTTGAAAAAACACTAGAAGACTGCACAGAGGGAATTTCAATCAACGGCGTGAACATTAACAATCTTCGCTATTAAATCTTCGGTATGCCGACGATATGGTTTTGAACGCTGATTCTCTGGAAAGTCTTCAAGTATTACTTGATCATTTGGCTACTGAAAGTGGAGAATTTGGATTAAAATTGAACGCCAAAAAAACTAAATGGATGGTGATTAGTAAGAACAAGGTTGAAGGAAGTATTCTTAAGGTACAGAACCGACAGATCGATCAGGTCCAATAATACATATACCTAAGATGTCAGGTTAATGAAGACTGAGATAACATGCAGGCAGGAGCTTCGTGCCAGGATTGAACAAGCCAGAGCATAATTTGTAAAAATGAAGTCCGTGTTGTGTAGTCAGGTCTCTCCGCACTCCGTTCGCACTTGAGTTCTACGTTGATACGTCTTCAGTATTCTCTATTATGGGATTGAGGCGTGGACTCTGACAGACGCCATGTGTAAAAAGTTAGAGGCTTCTGAAAGGTCGACATATAGACGAATGTTAATAATATCTTGGACAGACAAAATGCGCAATGAAGATGTGCTAACTAGAATATCTCAGAACTTGAAGTTATGTTTACGCTTAAAAAGTGAAAGTTGGAGTAATTCGGATACATACTCAGGAATGACAAAATACCTGCTTCTCAAGGTCATAATTCTTTGACACAATTTTCTATTATCACCCTGTATCGCTACAAGGTCGGTGCAATGAAAGAAAATGCTTATTTCGACTTCTAAAATAATATACTAAAGTTTCAACAAAATCTGTCGGTGACCGAATTCCATAAGAAGTGTGAGATGTTCTTTATTTATTGTATAATACCTTTTTAGATTAACATAAAATTAGACCAGCTTTTACCTTATTTATATTTGACAATTTCACTTTTATGTCTAAATCTTTCTGATGAAGCTACAACGTAGAAAACATGTTAAAGTTTAACAAAAATTAGTGGAAATACATAAGTATATCAATTTACTTTGAAAAATCTTTTACTACATACAATTCACTTGGAAAGCAACAAGGGCCAGAACACAAATGCTCTCCTTATGAACGTCACCGGCTTGTCACCGCAATATTTGACCTAAACGGCCATATAAAATCACGTGATTGAGATTGCCTAATAGGGTTTGGTTTCTAAAACGTTCTCTTTTTCTGGCAGTGCTCTAGCAGGCGAGTCATTTTTATTTTTATAATTTTTTCTTACATTTTTAGGTTCTCCCTTATAAATTTTTCAATATATTTTGCCATTAATATTATCATATCATTGTTAAGCTTTCACCTGATAAATCTTATCTTATCTATTCTTGAAATATAAATATTATATTTTAATTTTTTTATCTAATTGTGGGCGTCCATTTTGTGTGAGCGCCGATTGGTGGTGCCACGTTTTTCTGAGGTAAGTCAATTCAGTTAGTGTGGGAATATTGGACCATTTGCTCTAAATTGAGTCGGTGAAAACCAAATTTGTGTGTCCATCCCTATCAACTCTTTATTGAATCCATTAATTATTATCTTCTCGAGGAGAAAAGTGTTGAAAAAGGGCATGTGTAATTCTTTAAAATATAAATCCAGACAGGTCAAAAATTCATTTGAAAAGCTTTAATTGAAAAATCTCAAGAATTTCGACATATTCTGGATTTGATTGATTTCACCTCAGGTTTATCTTGTACTTGTAGTACCTATAGTAGCTACCTTTTTTTTTTAAAGGAAAATTTTGTCTATTTGGAGGAGAATCTAAAAATTTAATTTCTTATTGTTTTTATCTTATTTTGTTCATATTCTTGCCTGTTATTGCTACTGCCAGAAAAGCAGCACTCTGCTCAAAGTGCTCAGCCTGTAACCTTTAAGGAGCATTTTATTTTAATCTTGCTGTTATTATCTATTTTTATGATTATTTTTCAATTATTTAATTGTATTTTTTTTATATTAAAATATATTTTTTTTTAATTTGCAATAGTTGCCCATACCTGATTCTGTTGGAAAGGAGTGTCTGCACAAGAATGGTTTTATAATAAACTAATTTCATATTGATTTTGTTGTTCTTTGCTAGACACTCACTTTTTGACAGAATTCAGGGATTTAATATTCCAAACAAGAGCTCCAGTTCACGAAAGTGAAACCCCAAACATCCATTGAAGAGCTCCGGATTGGAAAAGTACATGTATCAGATTCACCGGAACAACCAAGCTGTTAACTGTCAAATTCTAAAGAAAAGTAACATTGTTACTTACATTGTGAAGAAATATTAAATAAAATCATTGTTTGTTGGATTTTGAGTGGTTTCATTTGCACATAAAGGGGCTACACGTTATCTTAATTTTTTGAATTCCACGACCCTAGGTTCTCTTATCTTAAAGTTCAAATAATTTATTTATTTGTAACAAAATTAAAAATAATAAAATAATATAGGTGTTTTAAATCAGAATCATTCGCTTCTAAATAGAGACCCCTTTTCAAGATAACTATTATTGACCTCAAAGTTTTTTGGGATGCCCAATAATAATAATTGTTCTGTTAAACCTGAATTTTCGTAACATAGGAATGAATATACCATGTTTTCGCTAATAACCTGAAGACATGTTTTACGGAACAACTGCGAAAATAAGTCATTAGGGGTCTGAATTTAACAAAGAACTAAACATTTAAGCAGTCGGCTCTTCCACCTTGGCATGAGAAAATCTTTCATAAATATCGTTCCAAGATATAAAAAAAACCCCTAATAATCGGCACAAACATGAATAATACATACTTTCAATATGACCATCTGATATGAAGTCATGTTCCAAATATCCATCATTTATTAAAAACTCTCTAAATTTTGCATTGACCCCAAATTTAGATTGCATTAGTCGTAAATCATTGGACCCCCTTCCCAGTCTTACAATCTTGTCAGTACAACTAGACAATCCCTGCAAAAATTGCTCCAAAGCATGATTGGTGAACGTTATTATCACAACCGGTCCGAGGTGACAATGCTGTTTGAAACTCAGGATCATTTTTATTAATTGCATGCCCAAAAATGTTTTTCCTGTTCCGGGTGGTCCTTGTATAATCACAAATTCTTTATTTAGAGCAGCATTTAGAGCGCTGGTTTGCGATGGATTTAGATTTGTAGGTAATTCATAGCCCCTGACGTTGTCCATATATTTTGGACGGGAAATATTTGTTTCGACGTTGATTATGTACTTTTCCATTGGCAAGCTTCGGACGGAGAGCTGTTGAATCACATTTAACACTTGGTAGTAGGGCTCAAAAAATATTATGCATTCGATCATGGTATATTTTTTTGAGTAATCCTGTATAATGGCTTCATGTAAGGTGACTAGCAAATGTCCGTCTCTTACATTGTCGCTGCCAACGATTTTTCCGCAAAATAGCGACTTGAAATTGTCATCGCTAAATAGAAGTAGAGAACCGTGCATGAAACGCTTATTTTGTCCACTGTTCAACATATTTTCGAGGCCTTTGGTTAATTGAAATTTAGCCTAAAAAAAAAAAAAAAATTAGGAATTGTGAATACCTATCGTAGATAAATTCTCATGGAAAAAGCCAAAAGGAAATACATTTACAACGCAAGACCATTTTCTGGTTTTGCGTTCAAAATTTTTAGCTAAAAATACTGCAACGGCCGCCAGTATGTCAAGAATTGCATAGCAGATTCGAGATTTTACGTGATGTTCGGGAACAACGTCGATCGCGGTTCTTCTGGAATTTACAGAAATAAATTACGGCTATATATAAGGACGGGTTTTAGCGTGTAAGTTTAAGTTAAAGTTTGACTGTGATACGAGTTAAATAGTGATTATTGTAAAAAGTTTGATTGTTGAGTTAGTTATTACAGTAATTAGTGTCAGAGTGTATTGTTACGTGGAATAAATTATTGCTGTGTTAATTGGACTTTGATTTTTGGGATAAACGAACCGAACCCAAGATTTTTGTCAGGCAATCCAAAGCCGTGACAATACCTATATGCCTCCAAATGGATCTGTATACAGGGTGTCCGGAAAATAGCGTAAAAGCTCTTCACTACGTGGTGGAGGACTCTTCAAGGAACCCCAGAAAAATAATTTAAAAAATCTGGTGGAATTTTTAGGAAAGTTATTAGCATTTTAATGTTTATTAAAATTGGCAACACTGAAAATATCCGTGACTAAAAAATGTTGTCAGATCAATTTTTCCCGTTGTAATTTAGAGATTTTGCAATTTTCATGATGCGTTTTAAACGTTAACAAATCTTTATAAACCATAGTGTAATGAATCAACAAAAGATACCTAACACTTTGTACGAAATATTGCAATTTGAAAAAAAAGTCAAAAATAAGGAAGTTGAATTCCCACATTTACCTCTCCATATTTCCAAGAATGGTTGAGGAGGATTTTTTTAATTATTTTTCCAAGGTTACTCAAAGGGTCCCTTATAGTCGTAACGGCAGACTTCAAATATAGCAAAAACGTTTCAAATAATGATAGAAGCAAACCACTTGGTATAGTTGGTCTATATACATAAACAATCGATTTGACCCGCAGCACCTTATTTCAAGTGGCGTCAAATTCAAAATGGCGGCCTATTTCCAAATTTTTTTATTTTAAATGTTGTTTTTGCTATGAGCGTGGGGCAATTGCATTTTTCTACTGACGTTTCATAATAGCAACTTTTCGATTGTCATTTCAGTTTTGAAACGACATTCTTTTAGGCACTGAGTGCGTGAAAGTTACTTTTAGGCACTCAGTGCGTAAAAGTGACTTTTGAATGCGTAAAAGTGACTTATGAGTGCGTAAAAGTAATTTTTAAGCACTAGTGCCTAAAAGTGTCAATCATTATTCAGAAATAAAAAACAACACTAAACACATATTTGAATTTTGTTTTGTATGTATTATGAATATTGAAAATGGAATTACTGAATTGAACGTTTGGGTTACTCAAAACAGAACTTTGTTTTATTACCTACTTTCTAGGATTTTAAATATTGATGCCGAATTTTGAAAAGAAAATCGCATGAAAAGTGTCAGGTGTCAAGTAAAAGCAGGTGACAAAGATTTTGGGTCTAATCGACTTATTCACATGAAATAAAATTGTGTTTTTTTTATTATAAAATGCCAGTAGAAAAAATCTTGTATACAATACGTTACGAAACGATGTCTTTTAGTCACTCGACGTGTTGTCCAACTCGGCTTTGCCTCGTTGGACAATTTTCACGTCGCGTGCCTAAAAGACGCTCATTTCGTAACTTATTGTATAAATAGCTATTTTCTACTGACGTTTCATAATAGCAACTTTTCGATTGTCATTTTAGTTTTAAAACGACATTCTTTTAGGCACTGAGTGCGTAAAAGTTGCTTTTAAGCACTCAGTGCGTAAAAGTGACTTTTGAATGCGTGAAAGTGACTTTTGAGTACGTAAAAGTAATTTTTAAGCACTAGTGCCTAAAAGTGTCATTCATTATTCAGAAATAAAAAAACACACTAAACACAGATTTGAATTTTGTTTTGTATTTATTATGAATATTAAAAATGTAATTATTGAATTGAACGTCTGGGTTACTCAAAACAGAACTTTGTGTTGTTACCTACTTTCTGGGATGTTAGTTATTGATATCGAATCTTGAAAAAAAAATCGCATGAAAAGTGTCACGTGTCAAGCAAAAGCAGGTAACAAAGATTTTGGGCGTAATCGACTTATTCACATGAAATAAAATTCTGTTTTTTTATTATAAAATGCCAGTAGAAAAAACCTTGTATACAATACGTTACGAAACGATGTCTTTTAGTCACTCGACGTGTTGTTCAATTCGGCTTTGCCTCGTTGGACAATTTTCACGTCGCGTGCCTAAAAGACACTCATTTCGTAAGTTATTGTATAAATAGCTATTTCCGTACTGTTTTCAGTGCGGAAAATCGATTTTCCGCACTGTTCAACAATGCGGAAAATGCAATTTCCGCACGCGCGTAGAAAAAAAAAATCCACATGGCTGCCAAAAAAATAATAATAAATATTAAAAAACATTCTCTGTCTATTTTTGCATCCAAAAAGACGGTGAAAAAGTCTGTAATGAAATGTACAATTCAGTCACTCAAACTAGACTACCAGCTATTTTCCAGACTATTCATTGCGAGTCTTTTCCGTGACTTGGATTTAAATGCATTCTTTCAGTATGAAAACCAGGAATGCCCATCATCTCTATCTCAAAACGGAAAATTACGACGTGGCCAGAAAAGTGACCTCACCAATATTTTTGAAGGTAATCTATTTATAATTACGTGTATTAAGTTTAACCAATTTACTTTTCTATTTTTGTAGAACTGGTACCTAACGGTACTGATCCAAAATTATGTGATGGTATTGTTTACGACGGAGCAGGTCTCGTCCATTTTATTGCTCCTCGTAATAGCAAAACATTTTAAGAATATTTTGAATTAGAGCTAAAACCTCACGTTGAAAAAGATGCCGCAAAAATGGGAGCTAAGCGCATCGATCTTGTTTGGGATCAATATTTAATTAATCGCATTAAAAATGCTGTACGCCAAAACGAGGATATGGCATTCGCCGTCAAGTAACCAGTGCTACTAGATTTCTACAAAACTGGCTGGATTTTTTAAGGAACTCATTAATATTAAACAAAATTGATCTCTTCAATTTTTTAGCAAAAGCTTTCTTTGTAGTAGAGGGCAAGGTAGCCTCTGTTAAAGTATAACCATTAACAATTGAAAATCGCATCTCTATGGTGACTACTCAAAATTAGAAAAATACCCCTTATAATAATATAAAATAATTTTTATATTTTTATGCCAAGTCCTGGTACACTATAACAAAGATGCCGTACGCCGGCAAAAAAACTTGAAAATTGTTGGCGATGCCGCTAGGCTTTGTCGCTTGTCGACAAAGCTAAGCCGCTCTTGTTGACAGTGTGAGATATTCTCTTTAGAAGTGGACAAAAGTATAAAATTACACAGATAATTGAATAAAAATCAATTTCAAATTTGAATTTTTAATAAAGGAATAATAGTCCCATTCAAATATATTTAAATTTATATTATATTTAAATATTTGATTTATTTCAATAGTTTAAAACGGAATTTTAAGGATTACCTACTATATGAATTTTGCCCATTTATTTAACGTATTAACTCCACTGTATTCTAGAGGTAAATCAGCTAGAATTTCGGGGCAATGGCGTTCGTCATTTCAGTTTTTATAGACATATCTGGAGTATGTTTATTCTTTATTAACCAATTTGTTTTCATTTGTCATGATAATAATATTTAGACGCCTATGGATTCCCACGTGACTTCAAAGAGATCAACTGAGCCGCCTTTTTTATGAAATTTCAATTAATAATGGTTAAACTTTACCAACAGTGTTGCCAACTTGGTAAAATAATTACCAGATCTGGTAATATCGACCGTGGTTTTAGTAATGAAGATTTTCAAAATATATCAAGTAATATTTCTGGTAATTTGACATTTCATTCCAGTAAAATTCTGGTATTTTCGCATTAGCAATCAATAATCCATTTTTCTTGAAATAATGGCGCCGTTTACACCGTCCATTGTGAGGGAGGTTGAACAATAATCAACGCCTAAAGTGACATTTTTACATGTTGGAATTTGACATTGGACATTTGAATGTGAAATTTGAACCAATAGGAAAGAACTCCGCAAAAAATAGATCGCTATTTCGCGTCTATGGAGACTAGTCTTAAATAGTTATGCCAAAGGTTACCAATATACCTATTAGGGCCGGTTTATTCACCTTCTGATAAACTGTTAGGTATGCAATCTGACCCATATATAAACGAAATATGTTATTCCATTGGTTGGCCAGTTATCCGCCGACCAATAGAATTATAGAACGGTGCACTTATCGTGCAGAGTTACCAAGGAACTTATCTGAAGATGAAGATGAACAAACCGGGCCTAAGCATGTTTACCAATATCTGTAATGTTATGTTATACAGAATGGATTTTTTTACAATAATGTATTTATTTATAGGTATCCTGTGTATAAATTAGGTATGCACTATTATTTTATCTGAATAAGTTTTATTTTTCCATACTAGATATTGTTGTTATTGCATTTTTATTTTAAACCTAACGAAAAAAACAAAAAAAAAAACTTAAAATAAACAATTGAAATCTAAAAATTTTAACACAATTTTTGTTTAGCAACAAAGACCTAGTAATATTCTGGTATTGGCAGGATTGAAAAAAATCTAGTAATATTCTGGTATTCCAAGTTTTATAATCTGGTAAAATGGCCATTCATATAGTTGGCAACACTGTTTACCAACATAAGCACAAGCGTCTGCGGACCACACGGAGGCAACGCCACGAATACAGCGCCCATAACGTTTTTGCTGTCTGTTTTTTGACGCCTCCGCCTCCTTGTCCTGAATCCTGATGAATATTATTGTTATATTCTAGGATTATTTTGCAATTTCCATTTCATAAAATATCGATAATATTTTACTAAAAATTTTAGAAAAACTAATGAGAATTAATTTTTTCGGGATGGGGTATCAAGCTGGGACCCGGGTACAAAAAAATAAATGATAAGTCAGGTGGAACAATCCAATGATACATCGCCCTTCGCCCTTCACAGTTGATTTGTAGGCTGTATCACAACCAAGCTATTTCTGTAAGATTTTGAAAGGCACAGTGTTCAATCTAGATTGTTAAATAATAGCTATTTATATAAATAACATTAAATAACAAGTACAATAAAGAAAGGATTTATTGTACGAATAATTTTATAACCGAGCGAGCTTGCGAGCGAGGCTATTAAATGAAAAGTCAATATTCAAGAAAGCCTGTTTATGTAAGCGTAATACCTATACGTAATGCGAATTTAATGCGTTTCTGTAAATTTCCATCTCGGTGAAAAATAAAATAAATAATTATTGTACCATTTTTCCTTTCAACAGTTCTATATTTTATAAACTGTGCTCTGATAGTATCTTGCTCTAATTTTCTTTTCCACCCAAAAAAGTCTTTCTTATTATTAAATGTTAAATTCTTGGCTTGGGGTCTAAGTTGTTACCGTGAAAATTTTTGTAATATGCAAAGCAATAATGTCTTTGCTGTCGGTAATAAAATCACAGTTTCGTGGGCATCTTATGGACTTCATTATTTTTGTAGATGTATTTTTGTTGTGAATTGTGTTTTCCATGTGTTTTTTTAAGTGAGACTTTCTCGAAAACTCCCTTTCATGTCATTGATAATAAGAAAAACTATCGAAATATAATTAATAATTTTGTGTCAAATAAATAAAGAGACGGTAAACAAAAATGCTAGTGAGCCGCCGTTTGTTGCGTCCCGCCAAATTTTAAAAGTTTCGTTCGTACACTTTCGACCATATTCGTGGCGTTGCCTCCGTGTGATCCGCAGACGCTTGTAACATAAGCGACACAATCCACCCGTCAGCAAATGTGAATTCGTTACTCAGTGGTCTAAAATGTAGTAATAAAGAGGAAGCAGATGACAGAATAATATTACATTTATAGGACACGGTGCAGCAAGGTTCTCAGAATCTAGTAGTATGCGGACAGTTTATACTGATGTGATAATACTATGTAGACCTTTTTACTCATGACTCAAATCTCTTGGTACCCAAAAATATATATGGGATCTCTTTAGATCAGGTTTAAAGAGACGATATTTGTCAGTACACCTTATAGCAGGTAAGTCGCTTTTCTCTCTAATCTACAAAATACCATCAATACACTTAACTTAAATAAATTCATATCTTAGATATTCTTGGCGATAAGACTAGTGCTCTTCTTGGGGTTACATGCTCTTACAGGGTGTGATTTTCTTTTCTTACAAAGTATAAAAGTCTGCCTGGAAAACATGGAATTCTCAAAGCAATAATGCAATAACTGAAGCATTTAAAGCGATTTCATGCCCACTGCCTTCCATTTCCGAAAATGTCATAAAAAATCTTGGCATGGGGCTGTCATGAAAAGGGCACAATATGGACACCTCTATGGTCTGTTCTTTCAAGTATTTGGGAGACTTGTCAAGAGCTAGCTAGATGCTCTTGTAAAATAGGACACAGCAGTAATCGCTGTAAATGCAGAAGTGGCCTTCCATGTACTCTGCAATGCATTTACTGCAAAGATATGGTGCACCAACAAGATAACTGAAAAGTTAGTACTTTCAAATATTCTCAATTCAAATTAAAACCAATTTTTATCCATTCTTATTTTGTTTTGTAGTTTGGACTTGGAAGACTAGGAATACCTACTATCCTTCCAATTATTTCTATGTTCTATGCTTTCATGAACTTAGCTACACCGCCATTTTGGATAATCACCTGAAATGGGCTCTTTCACTAATTTTTGAAATTGGCATATTTGGATAAAGCAACTAAAAACAGAATTTTCTGTATTTTTACTTTTGAAAAATTCATAGTCCTTCTTGAGAAAACAGAAAAAAAAGAAATCCTCCAAATAAAAACCCAGAATTTATTTCTATGACGTCGCAGCTCGCAATTTGACCGTGTTGCCACTAATTATCAACATTGCAAATTTGCAATAGATTTAATTCTGAAATGTTGGATAAATATCATGAAAAGTAGTTCAATTAATTAGTTATGGATTCAAGATTTTATAACTTTTTTATTGAAATTATGCTTAAACACAATTTAATACAATTTTTTAAGTTCAGTTTTTTTTTTTTTACGTTGCACTACATTTAGTCACCACCGACAACAGCGGATTCGAATCTTTACCTGCTTTTACTACAGGGTAACACTGTCGAGGCGGTCAGCTCCTTGCAACAACAAGCGAAATGAAAAATATTTATGTGACGTCAGCAAATCGGCGCGTTTTAAATTAATCTGAATTTCGCCAACTTTAAATGCCTGTAAAAAACTTATTTAACCTTGTAGGACATTTTTTTTGTGGCATATATGCCTAAAATAGTCCCTCCCTTGGGATTTTATACTTAAATTACGTATTTAAATTTTAGTGAAAGAGCCCATTGTGATTTTATTTTGAAATGTGCTTTTATTTTACATCATTAAAGTACTAATTTGGTTTTTATTTGATTTTAATCCCATTAGTCCTATTAGAAAAAACTTGAGTAGCGCCATTTTGAAAAAATTCGCCATCTTGAATATGACGCCACTCCTGATAGGGTGCTGCGGGTCAAATTAAAGTATTATATGTAAGGAAACTTTCTGCCAAGCGGTTTGCTTCTATCACGATTTGAAACGTTTTTCCGTGTACCGCTACGACTATTATTACGAAGTGGAGATCTTTTACGCTATTTTCCGGACACTCTGTATATCCTATTCACAATCCGTAGTCCAAGGGTACAGGTAAATTTATCACCTTTCCCTATCAAATAGCATTGAAAGGTGATAAATTTTACCTGTATCTGTGGATATCGGATTGTAAATAGATAATTCGTATGATTATGGATAGTTAACAGGTAAAAAGAATCAATTATAAAAAGTTTACCTTATAAGCAACTGTATCTCCAATGATATCTCTTTGCAGGAAAACCACATTCTTGTGTATTTTTATGTTGAACAAGTGCCTATTAGTATTATTCAAAAAATCGCACACATCTTCTCTGATTGGTCTAAGAAAATCTTCTCGCATCAGTCGAAAATGTATGTCCAAATAATCTCTCAATGAAGGATATTTGCCATTGATAATATTCTTTCTAACAAAAGCTTGTTCTGGGATAATTAGTTCTTCAGTTGACGGGTAGATATCTAAATAGCGATAATCATCTTGTGGTTCGGGTTCGTCCTTTCGAACATCTGCAGAAATCTCCAACTTGATTTTTGGATTTTTAAATTTATTTTCAATTATAACCAATTCTTGTTTGATGCTGTCTAAACGAGACAAAGTTTCTGCACTAACTGTTATCTTCTTGTTTTGTAGCAATACGGGCAAAATCAAAGTGAGCGACTTTGTAATGGTTTGTGCCTGTTCCCAACAAGTTAGCGGTATCAACTGCATGGTATTCTCTAGCAAAATCAGAACGCAATCCAGAAGATTATCGATATTTTCCCAAAAGATTGGATCTGCGTTTTCACTTATCAAAAGGCCCGAAAAAAAATTACAAATTACTGTAATAAATTTTTTCTGCATGATATTTTTCAGCACATAACTTTTGCTGGTTACAAATGTATTTTCACAAGCTTTAGCTATAAGCTTGAAGAGTAATACAAATATATCTTCTGAAAGATCCATAGAAAGAGCTTCTGAGAATTGTTTCATTTGATATGGTGATAATAAGATTTGGGTTACTTGTTCGACGGTTTGTTTCTCAACTAAGTCTTGCAAGGCAACTTGATCTAAGAAGGTATTGGAGGATGAGTTCGCATCCTGCCTCTGACTGTAATTCTCTGTTCGACGATCGGTTTGTTGGGAGATTGGTTTGGATGAGGTACTTTCATTTTTATTGAAATGTTTCTGAAAAAAACCTAAAAGAGTTCGGTACATTATATGTATATTATATTCGACATATATTATTATGGAGTTTGTTATCTAAATATTGAAAATTAATAAGAGAAAAATGAAGGGTTGTCACTTATACTTATTTTTGGTCAACTTTCGTTCAGTGAAATTCAGCTGTAAAAAGGGTGTCCTATTAAGAACTAAGTCAATCGATGTTGGACAAAGTAAAGTGCGACAAGTGAGTGAACCTGTGTGGAAGGAATGCGGGCAAAACCCTCCTGATTGGCCCAAGATTAAATATACATATACGCGGGTCGTCGCGTCAGGGTAAACGCAATTTTCGCAATGCACCACGTCAAGGACCCGTCGCGTCGTATAGTATAGGCTGTCGTCTTCCCCTCTGCTACTTCATACGTTACCAAGGTTCACTCACTTGTCGCACTTTACCTATACAAAGAAATTTTCTAAAAATTTGGCAGCCTAGGAAAACTGGTTTAGCAATCGAATTAAAAGTAGATGTCAACTTGCTTATTTTGAATGGGGTTAATTTAGAATTTTTGAATTTTACAAGCAAATTTCTTGTAGAAAATCATATAATTCAAACAAAAATATAAAATGATAGTATGATTCAGGCTGTTATTCGCGAAGCTGAAAATATTTATATGAAACTGCATACTCGTGAATATAAGAGATAAGAGATTATGTGCCAGTTAGGGAATTAATGACGCTGTATATCCATGACTCTTTAAACAGACCAATTCTTGCCATTGTTTTAATTCAAAATTCAAAATTCAAATTTACCAGAAAATATGGATTAAAATTAACTTAATTCTGACAGGATATGTGTTTTTCTGATTAGCTGATAATAAAAGGAATTATGTTGCCACTGCCCACGATGAAGGAGATAATAAATGTATAGTTTAGGTGATAAGGTATACCTATTGCTGGTTTACTCACGTGATCTCCCGGCAGCAGATCCAATTTCAGTTTCCCCATCATTTTTATTTCTCCAATTTTCTTGTCTACCTTTGCCTCTGCCTCTGCCTTTTCCCTTTGCAGTTCTCCAACCATCTTGGTCTTGGTCGGACATTATTAGTTGCTTTGTCTCACGCACGACACAAACCTTGTTTTTCTCAGCTGCAAACAAACAACTGAATACAAAATATTATCGATATTATCAAAGATGGATTATTATATTCACGGTAGGAATGACTAACTTTGATGACGAGGCTATTCAAGGTCAAATTGCATGGAAGCATGAAATCAGTGAATGCTGTGTTGTGAATTCCCACTTCCTAATATAGATTTTTTCAATAAGCATTCAGATAGTAGAACCATGATTCATGAAGTACAATTGCTTGAAAAATTACTAAGAAAAATAGACATAGTTCAGGGTAGATCGGCAACGTTGCAATTATTGAATATCGTTTGTTTGATTTTTGCTCGCTAAAAATCCTGATTTTTGAACGCTAAACCTCGAATAAAATAAGAAAGTCGTATTGTGTGCAGAGTAAATCCAACTATATCTGGTGAGTTGAGGATTTTCCTTCTAAAACAAAAATCCTTGAGAATATTTGCGTATTCCCTGCGTTATCAGCAAATATTTTGGACTTTGGACTCTAGCACTTTAATTCGTGCAACGGAAAATCTGCAAGGTCGCCACCAGGTGTTGCGCGGTATTGCCGTCTGTTGAATCTTTTACGGCTTAACATAAGGCTTTTGTATCTTCACCTCTATTCTGCAAAATGACTTCAACAAAAAACTGTAAAAAATGCGATAAGGCTATCGGCAAGAAGTTGAAGCTGCAGTGTGGTCAGTGTGGGGGCTACTTTCATCTTTTATGCGGCAATGTCACTGAGGTTGATGCTCGCATAATGAGCAATGAAAAAACTCCCTGGAACTGCGCAGGATGCTCAACGGTGGCAGGTGGTCCCAGCGGTCGGCTTTCAATTGGAGAACGCAGTAGAAGGGAGTCAGCCCTCTTTACAGCTCACTCTGAGGCAATGGCAAAGACTGGTTATGATGCTGATATAAGGGCTTTGATGCGTGAACTCCAGGAGGAGATTAGAGAGATGAAGAGAGCAATGGAATTCTTCAATGAGAAGTACGAGGAGGAGTCTAAGCGGACAAAGGTATTGTCGGATATAGTTTCTGAGGTATCTAAGGATAACCAGGACTTACGAAATGAAGTTAATAGGCTTAAATCTGCCTTGGGGTCACAAGAGCAGTCCAAATTAATGAACAACATATGCGTCACTGGTCTACTGACAAAACAGGATGAGGGAAACACGCAGGTTTGCAAGGATAAATTAATCCAGCTGTTCGATAGCTTAGATGTGAAAACTAGTGAACGCTCTCTGCAAAATGTCAGACAGATTCCAATGAAAACCGGTGTTAACGCTGTTATAACACTACAATCAGCTGATGTTAAACAAGAAATCTTAAGGGCCCGTTCAAAAAAAGGCAAAATCACACTTTCAAACTCTGGCCTGGGTGACTCTGCGCAGTGCATTTTCATTGAGGTGGAGCTTACAAAGGAAACCTATGAGTTGTTTAAAAAAGCTAAGCAGCAGCTCAGAAGCAAAAACTACAAGTGTATATGGCATAGAAATGGTAGAATCCTAGCACGAAAAAATGAGGGCGATCGTTATGTTATTGTCAAGAATGAGGAGATCCTGGAGGAATTATAATTATTCAAAGTAATGTAATTTTTATTTATTTTTTTTTTCCTGTTAATGTTGTAATTTATTTGTTTGTATTATTTGGATTGTATTTATCTAAAGCAATGGCTGTAACAAGATCTATAGGCAATTTGTGCATTGGTCATGTCAATATTCGATCGCTTCTTCCGAGCATGGATCACATGTGTGCTGATTTAGGGCTGGATATTTTGGGAATTTCTGAGACCTGGCTCAGTGCTGATGTTCCAACTGCTCAGGTTTCTGTTCAGGGATTTGATTTTTACAGGTTGGATAGAGAGGGGAGAGGTGGGGGTGTAGCGATCTTTATCAGAAATAGTCTCAAGGTGAGCATAATCGAAAACAATGATCAAAGTACAGTACTTGAGCATTTATGGGCTGTGGTGCAAGTTAAATCACTAGTTTTGGGTGTTGGAGTTTTTTACAGACCACCGCGGTATAATGCTCTGGAAGCTATTAATGTTTTGGAAGGTTTCGTTGCCGAAATCGTTCCTCAATGTGATGAAATAATTGTATTGGGTGACCTTAATATTGATCTTTTGAGTCAAAATACTGTAACAAATCACCTTGAAAGGTTTTTGGACTCCTTCGGATTTCATCAAATTGTAGTAAACCCCACTCGCTGCCTGGGTGGAAAAAGTAGTTTGCTCGACGTTATTTTTCTATCTGATGATAAGCGCTTTTAAATGGCAGTGTTAATCACTGTGAAATGCATGATGTGACTGATGATGACCTTGTACACTGTAAACTTAATATAAAGATACCCCCTATAACTCATAAAATTATTCATTTTAGGGATTATAAATATTTCAATATAGGGCTCCGTCAAGTTAGCCCCCCCACATTCGAATTTTCTGAAAAAATTGCAATCACTTACTGTGCTCGAAGTGTGCTTTACTGTGCCGATGATATTTTGAATTCTGCCGTTTCGATAAGTTATAAGAAAAAATAGATGAGGGGCTAAGTTGACGCTCAGCCCCCCCAAAATTTTGGAAATCAGATGAACTCAAAAAGGATTCTTATCCAATTTGAAGTGTGCTGAACTGTGCTGTATCAGGTTTTTCTCAAAATTTCCACATTCGGTCATTTTCCGACAAAATTCTACTGGGGGGCTAACTTGACGCTCAGCCCCCCTAAAATTTTGGAAATCAGATTAAACAAAATTGAATTCTAATCCATTCTGAAGTGTGCTGAACTGTGCTGTATCAGGTTTTTCTCAAAATTTCCATATTCGGTCATTTTCCGACAAAATCCTACTGGGGGGCTAACTTGACGCTCAGCCCCCCCAAAATTTTGGAAATCAGATTAAACAAAATTGAATTCTTATCCATTCTGAAGTGTGCTGAACTGTGCTGTATCAGGCTTTTCTCAAAATTTCCATATTCGGTCATTTTCCGACAAAATCCTACTGGGGGGCTATCTTGACGCTCAGCCCCTCCAAAATTTTGGAAATTAGATTAAACAAAATTGAATTCTTATCCAATCTGAAGTGTGCTGAACTGTGCTGTATCAGGTTTTTCTCAAAATTTCCATATTCGGTCATTTTCCGACAAAATCCTACTGGGGGGCTAACTTGACGTTCAGCCCCCCCAAAATTTTGGAAATCAGATTAAACAAAATTGAATTCTTATCTAATCTGAAGTGTGCTGAACTGTGCTGTATCAGGTTTTTCTCAAAATTTCCATATTCGATTATTTTCCGACAAAAAACTAAGAGGGGGCTAAGTTGATGCCAAATTTTAGGGGCCACAACACGTGGGGGATTGTAAGCGTTTCGTAAAAACCAAACTAAAGAAAAACTGCTTCAGATATCGAGATGAACCTAAATTTATATAAACGAAGGATTATACAACCAGCCTACAAAAGCGTTTTCTTGATATGATAAATATAGCTAATGACCGGCTGCGTTGCCAGCGTGAAAATACATTTTGAAATAATACACTTTTTTTCAAATTTTGTTGTTGATTTTCTATTTAAATTTTTTTTTATCCGATACCAGAGTCGCTTGCCAGTGAGTTCAGTGATGCATTTTAAGCACTCCAGAGCTGCTCTAGAGCGCCCCGGGCTGTTTATAGGCGTTCCAGTGTATCAGAGTTTCGCGCAAACGAACTTTTTTTTTCGGGATAAAAAACAGCCTATATCACTCTCCTCTATAGCCGAATTCGATTGACCGGATTAGATTGATCTGGTTCAATTTAAGTGAACCACACTGTGTTGGATTGAGGCTGGATCAGTGCACCCTCATCAACAAAAAAAATGATCTAGATCAGAAGAAGTTCACTTAAATTGAACCCAAATCGATCTAATCTGGGTCAATCGAATTCAGCTTACATAAAGATACGTGGTATTAAATTTAAGATCGGTCCAGCCGTTCTCGAATTCAAAAAATAATCATATATGGCAACGTTGTTTCATGCGGTCAAAAAAAAGTTGGGTTATGTTGTTATGTAATGTGAATAAGTTTGTTTACAATTAAATTAACAATTAATTCAAAATTAATTTCTTTTTCCGAGATGCGTAACCTATCCACAAACCTTCCTTGGAATGGCCATAACAACCTACCAAAGTTTCATCGTAATCGGATAAGTGATGTAGGAGCGCATAGCCGGATACCCAGCAAACATTGATTTCGCTGAAAGGTTTTTCGGTAACTGTCGGCTATCGTATTGTCACCGTTCCGTTTTTCCGGTTGGTTATTATTTTTTTGTTTATTTTATATGTTATATTATAATTTTCTGTATTATTTCTCATTTCTAACAACTTTTGTGCCTGAGTTTGAAAAAGCAAAGTATAATGGAAGTCGAAAAGAGAATACGAAGAATGTAATGCCCAAGGTTCCTAAATATTAATTGCTTGTAATAGGTTGTTTGGTAAGGGCAAACAGATGACGTCATCGGGTGGTTCCTATGGAGTTTGCATTGTGCTTAGGCATACAGTCATAAAAGTTATCAGGCAACCTATCTCTTTCAAGCAACCTTGTGGGATGCCTAAATCACAAAGTTCCAAAGTCACTGCATGTCTTCAATTGAATCACTGTCAACCGAAGATCTACAGACCAGTTATCCAGGGTTGGGAACGGAACACTCTCCAAAATGGATAGGTGATTTATGGCCGTTTGCACCGACCATTTTAAGGAAACATTAGCGATAAGTATTCCCTAAAATTACATTTCTACATGGATAAATGTCGCTTTAAGGAATACTTATCGCTAAAGCCTACTACTCATAACTGCGAAATTCGCATTTTTTTGACATTGCTTCGACAACTTGACGTTTGATTCACGTATATAACGTCAAATTGTCGAAGCAATGTCAAAAAAGTGCGAATTTCCGAGTTATGCTTAAGGCTTCCTCAAAATGGTCGGTGTAAACGGCCATTATACATTAGTCTGCGTTCCAAGTCCCATCTGCTACCAGTGCAGCCGGAGCTCGGTTCGGATTGGCAGCTCCTTTTACTTTTTCAACACTTTTAGCTCTTAAGTAGGGATGCCGCCTTTGAAAGTAAGTTGAACCGGAGAAAAAAAAACATTATTGAAAGAAAGCTGAAAAAGAAAATCTGCAGATCTACAATGCAACAGATACATTACACTTTACTATCTGTCTATATGTATATACACAAGTCCCCCCCCCCCCCAGCATCGCCAGATGTTGCTCGAGGAAACTTTGCTTGAGGTTGCGAGTTGAGACGGTTGGAGAAGAAGATTCAAGAATATTACACACTAAACAGGATTGCCTATCCTCATAAGACCTGTGTAGATCAAATCTCAAGCCCCCCACCACGTCAAAGATCCCAAGAACCAGTGATGACGTAGGCAGCGTGTCGTTTCCCGCCTTGAAGTAGGGTATTTGCACCACAGACTATGATTCCGCAGGCTTTTGGCTTTATGCATACATGGTTTTAGTACATTATTCAGCAATCTAAAACAACTCCTTTTTAGATCTCGTTTATATCTTCCTCTTTGCCTATTATGTTAATCAAAATTAAATATTATTTCTCTTCATAAATGTATATTCCTCAATACTACGACCGCTGACGCAAACAGTTAACGACACCGTTGATGACGTCAGTAACGGTGCAACATCATGGTCTTTATTCCAAAAATCGAGTCCGATGCGCAAACTTAGTTGTGTTTAATATCCTTGAGGGAGATTATGCAGCATTGAGTTCGTGGGCTGTCTATCACCAACGTGCGTGTCGGAGTCGGATAATTTCTCAATTTCTCCGAGAGAAACGGTATTTGCACAAACAGGATTGCGCTGTTGCTAAATCCTATTTTTTTTCTTAAATGCGTTTTTTTTTTTGTTAAATGCGGTTTTACACGGAGAAAACACCCAGTAATCCGGAGCCTAGAGACCAAATGTAAAAACCCGTAGACTCCGGGTAAGACCCGGAGAGGTGGCAACCCTACTTAAGTCGTTCGGGTATTCGGGTACAACCATAGTTAGAGCAAATGTTGACTCCGTATTGTTCGGGTGTGTTAGAGCAGCTTTTAAAGAGTTAACCTTACAAACACTGCCGTGAGAAATGCTAGTCGTGGTGCAGGCATGCGCAGTGCGATAAACAACTGATCTGATAGTTCTTTTATCGTTATCTTTGAAAAGCGAGTAAATCACTAGGAAAATTATTATAATTTCGTAAAATCTGGTAAAATTTAATTAACAGGAATGTATGTTAATTTTCAGAGCTGAGTGCCAAGTTAGCTAGTAGGATTTTGTCGGAAAATAACCGAATAAGTATGTAAATTTTGAGAAAACCTGATACAGCAGAGTTAGTACACTTCAGATTGGAGAAGAATTCAATTTTCTTTCATCCAATTTTCAACATTTTGAGGGGGCTGAGCTTCAAGTTACCTCCCCAGTAGGATTTTGTCGGAAAATGACCGAATATGGAAATTTTGAGAAAAACCTGATACAGC